AAAAAGTATTCATTTTGCAAAATAAAAAAGGTAATGAGAAGATGATGCAATGGAGGAAAAGATTAGAGAAACAATTAGTTTCCCAGAATTCCTCTGTGAGGGCGTTTGACAGCTCTGGATGACAGGCTGAGAGCCGGTGTGACTGCCGACGAGGGTGCAATGGGTCTGGAACTGCGGGCTCTGGGCGTGGGCGTGGGTTCGGTGCGAGAAGGCAGCCCTCCCTCCCCCAGCCCCTACTGTGGCGCTCAGGGGGAGAAGGTGGCCATCTCCAGGGAGATCCTCTGCCACAGCTCCTTGGTCTGCTTGCCCCTCTTGAGGTTCTGCAGCACATCGTTGAACTGCATCATGCCCACGGGAGTGAGGCAGAACGCGCCACGGGCGCTGCGGATGATGTTGACGAAGTCGTCGTAGTCGGCCGGGGTCAGGTGGATCAGGCGGTGGTGGATGTACTGCGCGAGGAGACAAAGCAGAATGTCAGCTGCTGCCATGACCACTGCTAACATGAGTTCTCCCATCAAGCGGATACCAGTTCGGCTCCCACACAAGAAGACAGGCTACACCAACTCAAAATCACAGTGACTTCGAGGGGGGGGATCACAAACTCGGGTCACATTGAGTAATTTGAGTTCTAAGACTAAAATAAAATGGGGTGGCGCAGTGTTGAGCAATGCTGGGCCCCGGACTGCTATCTATTTGGAGTTGGTAACGGAAGAACGATGGAAACTATCAGAGTGTGTGGCACAGAGCTGGTCTAGGATGCCCGGGCAGGCCTGGCTCACCTGCAGGTACGCCTGCTGGCAGCGCTGGACCAGCTGGTGGAAGGCAGGGGTCCTCAGGTGGGCGTGGATGTGGGCGGGGTTGAGCCGCTGCAGCGCCTCCATTATGATCTCCTGCAGAACGAAGGGGCTCAGCACCCCCTTGGCAGCGCCCACGCAGAACTGGTACACGTGGTTCACGCCTGCAGACAGGCAGAAGAGGACCGTCACTGACTTGATTTGCAGGAATTACACACAAGTGAGATCTTTATTCACACAGGATCAAGCACTGACTGTCAGCTTGTTTCGGTGTTACATCCCTTCTTGCATGGCTGTTAGAGTGAGAAGCCTTGCTCAGACAGCAGGACGACAACCCTCAACACGTCAACATAAATTAGCTTTCTTTTTTTAAATTATTTTTAAAGTACCTCTTAGCACTCTGCAACCTGTACACCACTGCTGAAATCTTTTGAGACAGAACAATTCCAACTTGAGGGCAGAGTGGTGGCTCTGTGGCTAAGGATCTGCGCCTGTGGCTGGAAGGTTGCCGGTTCAAATCCCGCAGCCGGCAGAGGAATCCTACCCCGTTGGGCCCCTGAGCAAGGCCCTTAACCCCAACTGCTCCAGGGGGGCTGTATAAATGGCTGACCCTGCGCTCTGACCCAAAGCTTCTCTCTCCCCATCTGTGTACCTATGCGTCTCATGGAGAGCAAGCTGGGGTATGCGAAAAGACAAATTCCTAATGCAAGAAATTGTATATGGCCAATAAAGTGATCTTATCTTAAACTTCATTGTCTTAGTGAAGTGGGGAACAGTGAGGTAAGAATCTTAGTCACAGCTAGTTTGCAAACTAATGACAGATGTTAATATACTGTTAATTTTCAATTCCAAATATTTCATTTTAACATGCTAGAAGATGAAGTGTTCCTATAGTCCTGCTGGCATAGGTTCCTTTAGAACACAAGAATATATGTACGATATTGTAACCTATGTGTCCTGGGTCAGAGAATAACACTATGCTAGACCAGTTTATTATGTACCAGTGATCGTAAACAAATACGTAGACAGGGAGCCCCGTGATCCTGAGGGTCTGCGATTATGAACACTTGTTCAGACTGAACCCTTGTTGTGACCGATTACTTCAGAGACAGCCCTGGACACTCTGCGCTACCCTCCTCCTCCTCTCTAGTCAGGCTCACCTAAACGGGCAGCCAGCCCCAGGAGCCACTTGACGTCCTCGGTGTAAGGTGGGCTGCGGGAGAAGTTGTTAGGGTGATCGTTGTGAGCCCTCCGTCCCAACATCTCCAGTGCTAGCATACCTGCAAGACAGGGCCGTTCGTGAGAAAAATACCATGCAGTGTGACAGCATATTGACAACTCTTGGCACACAGACAACCACACCAGTAAGCACACTGTTAAGAAAAATTCAACTCATGGTTCAGATAAAAACTTATTAAAGCACAAGCATTAAATCCTATCAAGCACTGCAGATACGTTGATAAGATCTTGTGACAGAGAGCAGAAGTAGAACTAGAATTTGATTAAGATGATAAGCACACACTCGAGGCCACTGAACCCAAAAGTAAGATTAGTCTAACATGCTCACAAGATTTTGTCTCATGTAAGATCATTTTATGAAAAACAAAATGGACAGTGGGCCTGGATGTTTGTGCTGCTTCTTCACTGCACCTGGGTCCCATGTTTGATTCTGGATTATTGGGACATCTTGTAGGTTTGGTTTGCATGTTCTCCCCATGTTGGCATGCGTTTTCACTGGGTGCAGCCTTCCCACTTCCCAAAGGGATGCTGGCTAGGTCGCGTGGCCTTTTGGAATTGTGCCTGAATGCGTAGGTACTGTACATGCCCTGGGATTGATTGGCTACATGTCCAGGGTGAAAACTCACCTTGAGTCCTATGCTTCAAGGATAAGCTCTAGCACTGCGAAACCTTATCCGGAAAAATTGGCTTTCTGACAATGGAGGGATTTTATAATAGGTTCAGCCCAGTATGTGCTAAGCAATCAATAAAGCACAATATGACATTTTAGGTGGCATAGTGGCACAGTGACTAGTATTGCTGCCCTGCGGTCCTGCAGCCCTGGGTTCAATTTTGTGGGGTGTTATCTGTGTGGAGTTTGTATGTTCTCCCAATATACTGGATGCTCTGGTTTCCTCCCACAGTCCAAAGACACACTGGTAGGTTAATAAGCTGCTGGGAAAACTGACACTGGCACTGGTGTGAGTGTGTACCGTGTGATGGAATGGCTTCCCGTATAGGGTGTACCCTGCCTTGAGCCGGTTGCTTGTCAGAATATGCAACCGGTTTATGCTTGTCGGAATATGCAACACTCCCCTGGGACCCGCTATTGAACAAATCAGTTATAAAGTGGATGGAGGCTATTTTTCAATCTTCCCTAAAATGCCTGTGTTCCAACAAAGGGTGATGCAATATTATTTTCTCGTTTGATATATTGAACTCTTTTCATCATAAAACGCAAAAGTACTGGAGTTCAAGGGAATGCAATCAAGAATTTAAGGGACAGTTCTGCGCTGCATCCAAACAGCTATCACAAGGCTATCCTCGGGCCACAGCCTGAGCAGTCTTCTCACCAACTCTGTAGGCCGAATGCAGGTAGTGCAGGCCCTGCTGGCTGATTGGCTGGCTATGCTGCTCGTCTTCAGATGGGAAGGACGTGCTGACCAAAGAGGACGGCTGGGACGAAAGTCCTGGAAGAGAGGCTGCCTGGATGCCCTGGATTGTCGAGCCTGTGTGGACGCCACCTACTGGAAAAAGTAGACATTTACAGGGCCTGTCGGTCAGCGTGTTTGGTTAGGTCATTGGTTTGATAGTTGCCTTAGCTTCACAGCTCAATGACTCAGGGGAATACAGCGGATTTGGTAAATAAATGTTATTAGCAGTAAAAATAAAATTAAACATCATACTACTGAGACAAAAAAACAATGAATCCCAATTATTATTAGGACTTTCACACTACTAATTTTAAATGGTGAAACATTATTAAGATGACAAGTTATTTCTTAATAATCTATGTATTTAAAAATGTATAAAAAGGCAAATATGACTGAAAAATTTCATAATCCACAACATTGAACTTTGCCTGCATTTTCTTCCGTGTTGTACTTGGGCTTGCTATTCAATATAATCTGTAAACATCATTACATGTAAAATTGAAATATTTTTCAACTCTCCTACCCAGAAAGTTAGAAAGGCATCTCTGATATGTTTTATTTTCATGGCACATACTGCATGTTCTGTGCTTCTACCCTGTGTCACTCAGGAGGACAGTTTTTTGATCAGATATTTTTGGGCACCACATCATAGTTAGATAGTTGTTCTGGAATATGTCCAAAGAAGAGTAACCAGGTATATTCCCAGACCTGCTCTGACAGATTGAAGGAAATGAACCTGCAAAACTACGAGTGGACCCGATTCACCCAGTGGACGTCTTCAGAATCAAGGGTGAAATATAAACCAACCAGGCCAAATGGGCTGAATGAGCTCCTCTCAGTAACCTTTCTGTGTTAATGTACTGCAAATCAGTACTGTTCAATCCGTTTTGCTTTATGTGCTTTTTGCAACTTAAATTTTCATTATTGGAACTTTAATTACACTACTTTTCAAGCTGTCCATTTACAATACACTTTAAATGATTGAGTGACAAATGCTACTGATGAAAACGTTAATATATGGTTTTACTGGGAATGTTCCTGCTACATTATTTTATTAGTTTTACTGCATGTTGGCCGATTCACTGCCTTATTAGTTTTTATTGCATGCTGAATATTTAATGAACGCTAAACAAGACTCTCTCGGTGGAATAATAACTTCAAGGCCAGAGCATAATAAAGTTAATTTTTTTGCAAAATGAACTTTCCATCATTGACTTGGCAGAAAAATCAAGAACGCTTAGCCTGGTTGTACTTAACGGCCACCAGATGTCGACGGGCTGCGTTAGAAGCAGCCGTCGTTGCGCGGAGCCTGAAGCTGTAGCCGCGAGTCCCCTGTGCTGAGAGGCGAAGAGTGTGCACAGACTGACCTGCGACGGTGGTGGCCAGCGGCAGGCCAGCTTCACCGTGGTAGGGGTGGACAGCAATCTGGGTCATGGACGGCACGGGCACGCCTGGGAAGGTGACAGCAGCGGCTGCCAGGGGCGGATGGGGGCCGGTGGCCACCGAGAAGGGGTACTGGGCGCCGATGAAGGCGGGGTGCATTCCCTGAGGGCACAGAGACGCACTTCCGGTTGATGTCACACATGCCAGTTCGGCCTTGACAAGCCTCTGGGCAGCCCTGTATTAGCACTAGTCAGGTTAGATGATGGGGAAACACTGAGCTAGATGGGGCTACCTACTGTATGAAACAGACTTGTGTTTACTAACATGTCATTTACATCTCTAGTCAATATTGCGAAGCAATTTGATAGGCAAATGTTTGAGATTCAGTTAAAAGCAAATATCCTGAAATCAAGGGATATAACGTTAAGGTTCAGATAATGCACTAGGAAGGCCATGATGAGAATAACACCTGCAATTTTGAAAACCACATCTAAGATATTGCTGCTTTGTAATCAGTCCAGAGAACAGATACATTCCATAGCTTAAGAGAATGAACCTGCATTGACTGAACCTTTTTAGTCTCGAAGAAAGTTGGATTACACGCCCAGTACAAATTTTCAAAATCCACAAAAGTACCCACAGGCAACCCAGTAGACTTTAGAATGAATGAAATGCAAATGGGGGAGTACAAGTGGAAACTATGTGCAAGTCTATTTAAAACCAAACAGGAGACACTCCTTGACAGGAGAAGGGCTGTTGGTGTATAGAACAAGCTACCCAGCCGGGCTGTTAAAGCCCAGACTTCAGCGTCTGTCAAGAAATGGCAAGATCAATTGGACAGGCTGAATGGCCTCCTCTCATTTGTAACCTTTCTTGTGGAACCAAGCAATTTCCTGATGTTCCACAGTACCTACACTGAATCACCCAAAACTATGCAGACAGTAAAGCAAACCGAAAATGCAGCATCGCAGAACTATTCTCTTTTCCTTGCCTGTGTGTTTGCAGGTCTAAAACAAACAAATCCCCTTGAATATGTGAATTCGTTGTAAAGGGCTCTTTCCTGCCAGCTCCTAGCAGGGCTACGTAGGATAATCTTACCTAGGAGAGCATTGATCCCTTCCCCAGGCCAGGGAAGAAAGGGTTTCTGCAGCGCAGTCTGTGCTCCCTCAGGTTTCACTAGCTGCTAGTGAACTGCTAGATCACGCACACAAGCCATGTACTAATTATTTCAAGCTTTCCGTCTGATTTTAAGAGAGCACAAAGTAGCAGAACTTAATTGAACTGAACAGATTTGGGTTTCTATTTTGCCGGCATAATTTCCTTAAGAACTTGTTTAACAGGGCTCAGCAAATCCAGACTGATGTAATGGTGGCAATTCATAACCATGAGGTGCTGTTACAAATGCCTTCTCGAGATTTTCTGATAAGATTCTGGGAACACTCTGTTCCGGAATGTTGCATTTTCATGTCCATTCTGGAAACTTTTCTGCTAAAGAAGAATTTTTCCTGGAACGCTGTGTTTACAAGTGTTTGAAACAGGTATTTCTTGCAGAAGCAGACTATGCATACAGGTATGAAGTCTTTTTTTAAAAGAGCTACTCTCCTGCAGCAATGACATCAGCAAGCATCTTCATTAGAAAATACCACCTGTTGTGGAAGCTGAAAAATATGGCTGGAGTAAATTTGATGAAGCATGTCTGAGTAAAACAAGGAAACTAAATTTTCCTTGTACAATTACAGCAAAAAGCTACTTTCAGAACTAGGCAAAGTATTTTCATACATTTGAAAAAAAGATTTTGAAAATGACCTAGAACATCATGTTCTTTTAAAGGCTTCAACATATATTCTTAAGATGATCACAGCCTTTTTGTTTGTCAGATCTTATGTGGACAAAGCTCACATGCAAAATTACATACGTGCTGCTACAGAACAACAGAACTCTTCATAAAACACAAAAGGTCTTTACGTCAAAAAAATAAGACTAACAGTAGTCACCTGCACAAGTGGTGAGTCCAAAACAATCCATGTCTTGTCAATCACAGCTGAGTGAAACTAAAAGGAATTACAGACTTATCCAAATGTACTGCTATCTTGAATGCAGTCAATTCTAACATTTTCTTTAACAGCATCGTTCACCGTTTGTTACAAAACAAGCCAAAGATGCCCTCTCCTATTTTGTTTGAGCGGTCTGCTTTCCCTGTGGGGCAAGCAAAGTGGGGGGGGGGAAAGCTGTGAAAAAAGCTCACCCCAGATTTGTGACATTTTGCTTTACTGCGGTTTTACACTTAACTAGACAATTATGGTGGCAGCAGTGTGCTTTACAAAGAACACAGTGAAGCCAGGAGCTTCCACCAGCTAAACATACCCAGTCCCCTCAGCCCCGAGTAGGGAGCTCCTTACCTGCGGGTACGCGGCCCCAGACACAGGGAAGACTGTGGGTCGGGGCACATGTTGCAGAGGGTGTCCCAGGTACTGAGGGGTGCAGACAGTGGGCAGATGGGCCTGGATGGTGGTGTAGGGGTGCAGGCCCTGCGTGTGGGGGTGCGCCATAGCCGAGCCAGGGATGGCGTGCGACTGGTAGATGGTGGAACCCACGGAGATGACGGGCACCACGGCAGCAGCGGTCACCGTGGCCGTCACTGCCACCCCTCCAGACTCCATGGCACCGCCGCTGTCCAGCACTCCCCGGCCCACCTCAGAAGGCCCTCTCCCTCCCGCCCCGCCGTTCGCCCCACACCCCCCGGCTGGCCCCTCACGCTGGGAACCGACGCCGCCCCCCACAGTCTGCTCATACAGCCAGTACCACTGGTGCGCCACCTCAAACAGCACCTCTGGGTACACCCCCCCGCCCTTGGCAGCCTCCTCCACCGCCATGCAAGCCTTCTCCAGCATCACGTTGTCCTGCGAAGAAGACGACAGGATGTTAAACTGGAAACGGTTCTGTCCACAAGCCACGAGAGTTTGCTAGATCTTCTGGACTTCTGTATCCTGATGGCAATAATCAACATCTACCCTGGTTAACTTTGCTTTTTGCATCAGTATGGTTCTGAAGCACACAGTCATGACTACGGGCATGGGCATTGTGGGGAAGAACTGGACAATATTTTGTGGATCCTCATTCTGATATACTGGGTGTCACAGATCACAGAGGTCATGACATCTGGTACTGACGTATTTAAACCAGGGGCTTATCTCCCCCTGAGGCACTGGTCTTCAGCTGAAAGGCCATACCTGCTCTTTGCACTGCACCAGGGCTCTCTGGATCTCGTTAGGGTTGAGCGCGTGGGCGTGAGGCAGGCAGCTGAGGGCGAGCTCGGCTGCCGCTCGGACCATGTTGGGATCGCGTGCCCGCGAGGCTCGGTCCGCCAGAGATGCAACCTCGGGTGGGGTCAGGTGTCCGTCCCAGCATTCCACTAAGATATTGAGGGCTGCACTGCCAATCTCCATAGCTTGGCCTGGAGGACAGGAGTGGGAGACGATTACCCTATGAAATCCCACAAAGCCATATTAAAGAACAGTAAAGCTGGAGGTAAAATTTGACTTGTTCCGTTTTCTACCAGAACACTTGCCCTTGAGCTGGAGACATGAAGGAAAAGGGGAGAAATGGCATAAAAGAGAGAGAGACAGTCTTAGCTCCGGAACAGGAAGCCCAACCTAGGCACTTCCTGCGGAACTACAGACAGAAACAAATAAAAGGTATTACAGCTGGACCAGTGAGTCTTCCTACTGCAGCATTCCCAAGCAAAATCACTTTGCTCACATCAGGAGACAATGCAAAATACAAAAGCTCATATGTGTTAGCAAAATGGAACCAAGCACATTATGTAACAGCAGGCACACCCACCCGTGATCCAGGACACGTGAGAGGAATAGGTCCTGGAAAGCCAGTTGGGTGACACAAAGTTGTGCAGGCCCAGTGCGTACAGCCCAATCTCGAAGGCACAGAGGTGCAGGTTGCGGTGGGGCCCTTGGTGGCCGCCGCTGGTCGAGGGCTGGGTGAAGATGGAGGTGGAGCTGTTGCCCCCCGCCTTGATCAGCACGGTCTTGGCCAGCTCGAAATAGAAATGGGCCGCGGCCTCCGAGGGCTGGTTAGGAACGTGAGGGGCGTGGCATTCCGGGCGACGACCTTTGTACCTGCAGTAATCAAGAAAAAGGAAGGAAAGCCAAAGTTCTGTCTTAAATAATTGTGTGAAATGGAAATTGCCTTCACTAGAGAAGACACACCCAAGCTTATTATAAGTGAGTAAAAGCACCCTACTTGTTTTTAAGAGATCTAAGTTTTAACTTAAGAGCATTAAGGCAACATTTTTGTAATGTGATGAAAAGCTTTTTGATAATATAAATATATAATGGTTGCATTCAATACTCCTGCCGTTTATTTAAAGAACCTTTTATAATCGATTCACTTTGGTGACACTTCTTATGGTTGAGTGTTACTTTAGTAATTTTTCAGTCAGGAGGTATTATTCCCGTCCAGTGACTGCCAAAAGAGTTTTGTTAATGGTCTGTAAATAACATCTCTGTCCCTTAAGTACAATTAACAAAATACCATCAGTCCCCGGAGCATTGTCTTCTGCTTCTAGCAATTAACCTCTGTGCTATTTACTTTATCTCAGATTTTGCCTTTGTTTAGCAAAAGTGATGTTCCCCATTTCTACATTGATATTTTACTCAGGTGTTTAATACATCATCTACAGCATCTATCGAAACTATTCACCTTCACCCTTTTCACATTTTAATGTGCTACAAAATGGAATCAAGATATAGAATTGTGATTTTCACCATAGATCGGCACAACCCACTCTATAACGTCGAAGTGAAATCAAAATCCCACAGCTTGTCCTAAATTAATTGTAAATATAAAACATGCATAAGCATTCACCCCTTTTGCAATGACATACCTATATAGACTTTGGTGCAACTAATTGTCTTTAGAAGTCACGTAACTAGTTGAGTGGAGTTCACCTGTTCCCAATTAAGGTGTTTCACAATAGTTGATGTTAAACAGACCTCTTTCAGGGAGGTTCCCAACAAATACTACATCATGAAGACAAAGAATCTGGGATAGGGTTATTGAAAAGCACCAGTCAGGGGAGGGCTATAAGAAAAATTCCAAGTCATTGAATATCCCACAAAACACAGTTAAGTCCATCTTAAGGAAATGGAGAAAATATGACTGTGAATGTGTGCAGAATTGCTTCCTGAAAAACTGAGTATCTGGACAAGACCGTACACTAGTCAGGAAGGCCACCAAGAGGACAACTCTAAAAAAATAGTGTTGTGCATCCAAGATGGATAAAGCTGTGTAAGACAGCAATTGCAGAGGTGCTTCACAAACATGGACTTCATGAGAGAGTAGTGAAATGAAAGTCATGTAAAAAAAAAAAACTCAAATCAAATCTCAATTACAGCTCACCAGAAGGCATGTGAGAGACTCTGAGATCAAGTGGACAAAGGTTCTATAGTCTGATGAAACCACAATTTACCTTTTTGGCCTCAACACTAAGCGCTGTTTGGCACAAGCATAACAACCATGTATCATCCTGAGAACTCCATCCCTATCATGACAGGTGACAGAATCATGCGATGGAGATAACTAATCCTTCAGGGCCAGGACAACTTATAAAGATAGAAGGCAAAATGGATGCAGCAAAGTACAGAGAACCTGCTGCAGTCTGTGAAAGACCTGGAACTGGGGAGAAGATCCATCTTCCAGCAGATTAATCTCGGAAAACATACAGCCTAATCCACAACGGAGGCTTAAAAACAAAACAGTCAATATCCTTGAGTGGCCCAGTCAAAGCCCAGACCTCAGTCCAATCGTGAATCTGTAGGGCAAGTTGAAAATTGCTGTTCATGCTCCTCATTTAGGTTTAGAGAGCAAGAGTAATTTTGCCAAGAATTGCAACACATAAATGACTAATTTCTGCCAGACACACTTCCACCAAATACTAACTGAAGGGGGTAAATACCTGTATAATCAGGTATTTTCTGTTTCATATATTATGAAGATCTATAGTATAGTTTTTCAGTTTAACACTATGGAGTGTTTTATGATCAATAGCAAAAAAAATCTGAATTTAAATACATTATGATTACATACTGTAATGATAAAAAGTTAAAACAATGTCCAAGGAGGGTGAATACTTATCAAAATACTTAACCTCTGTATTTCCCTTTCAAGTTTCCACACAATTATCTCTGAGACTCAATCTTTAGCATTGCAATAGCAAAAGAACAATACTTCAATCAATACCTTAACTAGATTCAGTTTTTTAATAAGTTTATAAAGTGCTCTCTTTCTTCATGTATTCAGCATATATATGTTTTTGGCTTACTAACTTTTGATTGGTTTACTCTTAGGATAAATGTGTTCTGTGCTTCCGAATGTGTTCTGAATAGCTTTGAACTGTTATCACTTATCTTCACGTGATGTCTTATCTATAATATCCCCTGCTATTTCAACTCTTTCTTTTTAAGAAGATTAATATTGCACTCGGAGATTGTACAAGATTTTAAACCACAATAACTGATGGTGCATGCTACCTATTGTTTTTCAACTGACTGAGCAGATCACAAAAAGCAGCTCTTAGACAGAACTGTTTCGATAATGATCACACCACAGTAAAGGAAACCCTGCCCACCTACCTGCTGGTGTCTGCACTCTTGGCCCTGGCTCCACCCCCTGCTCTGCGCGAGCCACTCGAGGATGATGAGCCCAGCGAATCAGATGATGAACTGCTGATGCTGTCACTGTCTTGGCCCCGGCCCCAGGAGGCTGCTGCCCAACCACCTCGCAGGGGGCGTCGGCTAAGCGTAGGGGAGCTATCAGAAGTGGTCTCAGGGGCACTGCTGTCAATACTCGCCATGCCTGATGCAGAGAAAGCCACCGAGACACATCTTATACACAAAGCCACAGAGTTAACAAAACGCTTTTACACAAACATTTTCTTAACATTTCTTACTTTCCAGGTTATTTTCTTAGAAAATTCTACTCTACCAGCTAACTAAAAGTTGTTCAGAGAGCAGGTTGAGCTATGTGGGGCACTGGTTTGAGCCCGAGTCCTTGTCACTAGCAGACTGTGACTGGAATTCCCCAAAGTGTAAGGTGCATAGCTTGCAGAATGTCATCAGGCCAGAGTATCAGGTACCTCCCAATTTACAGTGGCATCAGTGAGAGATCTGCCATTCCCCAGTCAACACTAACACTGCTGCATGATACCACGGAGCGCAGCATGTCAGAAGATGGTTGGCTCTGTCAGGTGAGAATATCAGAGGACCAGGTCTGGAGGTCCTCCTTCTCCTCCAATAATACAGAAATCCAAACCATAAAGCAATCTTCAACATTCTGCAATTCAAAAGTGGCTGGATGTATATTTTACATAGATGGGCCAATTCCCAATTTACAAATAAAAAAAAAAAGATGAAAACAAAATCAGATGGCCGTTTTCAAAAAGGGCAGCCAAGTTCGGACATGATTACCTGTATGTTTCTTCTTCTGTCGAACTGGGGACCCCCAGCAGCGGCCACTGTACGCCCCCCGTCCCCCCAAAGCCAGGCGGCTGGGCACTGTGCCCTCAGGTTTAAAGGGAGCTGCCTCACCCTGCTGATCACATGTGGAAGACTGAGCTCCGTCTGCAAGGCAAAGCACTGACCATCAATGAAGGGAGCAGCCAGCTAAAAACTGGGTAAATGCAGAAAAATGCACATTGATAATTTTCTGTTCTACAGCAGCCTTTGCAACAGTTGGCCACAGAGCATGAAGCTCATCTCTTCCTTCCATAACCGTCAGTCTTTTTAGAGTTAGACATGCGATCCTCCTCCCTACCTTGCTCTCTGGTGTCATTATAATTGTCCCCCGTTGTGCTCTGGACAGCAGCGGGCAGTGCTGCCTGCTGGCCGGCCCCCGCTCCGCCGGCCACGCCCTGCGCGGCTGCAGACCCTCCCCCCGCAGCAGGGCCAGTGTGCTTCGACACGCCGCCCGCAGCCCCGCTGGCCCCGCTGTGGGCGGCATGTTTGGAGGGGCTCTTCTGGCTGCTGGCTACAGGCTTACTGGAATAGAAGGAGCTGAGAGTCTGGGGCTTGTGGGTTTGGCTTTCACGGTCCAGCAGCTTATCCAAGATCTGCAAAAAAAAAACAATGCAGCCATGACCAACAAACACCTGCACGCAACCGCAACATAAAGAGAAGTTTGAAGAATAAACCAAGTACAAAACAGATCAGTATGTTAAAATCTGGCCTTGTGTAAGGCTTAATGCAGCAGGGCTCCTGTTTTTTGAAAAGGCTTGGAGAATTTGACAGGACATATGAATGCAGCCGTTTGGCACAGTCCAGACCTTTTTGAGCTTGCTCTGGTCATCCTTGTAGGTAATCATGAGTGCCAAAGCCAGGTCTCCCTTCTCCCGTCGCGTTCCCTCACAAAGCAAAGGGTGCTCAGCCTCGCTCACTGTGGTCTTCATCCCTGAGAGGGAGGACATCGTCAGACACCTCACACAAAAGGTACATGAGCACTATGACAGGAATGCAGAACTCAATTTATGAATCCCAAACATATGACCATGCTGTTGAACAGAATGGATACCCTCAGTATCTCTGTAACCATAAAATGAGAGCAGTAACAGTGTGTGATGTTGATGTGTTGTGTGATGTTCATATTCACATACTTTAGCTTCTTTTCCGTTTGTGCATGTAAGGGTATATATGGTTTGTGTCTGGGTTAAATGACGTGACAAAATCAAATTGTATATGTAAAAGAAATGGCAACGAAGCCAACGAAGGCCTCACCTAGTTTGTAGCCTAACGGCCCACCCAGCCCATCTGGTAGTTAGTTGCTAACAGCTCTGATGATCACATTCTGCGGTTTCTTGAAACAAGTCAGGGTTTTGGCTTCAACAAAACGGCTTGTTTCATACCCTCACAACCCTTTGTGTAAAGAAGTCCCTCTGTACCCTGTTGTCAGATTTAAATTCACTTCCATGTAGCTTCCGCTTGTAAGCTCTGGTTCAGGTTTTACAGTTTACACTAAAAAAGATTGCTTGGTTGACTGTCAGTGTCTTGGACGATTGAGTTATTTCACAATTTTCACAAAGTAATCAGGGAAATTAAATTTATAACAAGCTAGGAGATGACTCCAGAACTTAGAAGAACAGTTATAAACAAATCACACGGGAACACTCAAAACTGTTAAGATATACACATTTACAATGCACTGGTAGGAGGAAAATGAGATGTCCTTTAGGTCTGGGTAATCCAAATGTTACAATCATGGTAACAGGGTTACTGTAGTAAAAAACCAAGATAAGAAACTTTAAGATGGTTAAAAGCGTCAGACAAATGAATAAAGAATACAAGGTTTGAAACTGGAAGTGGTTACTCATCACATTGTTTCCTATATTTCTCTCAAGGATGCTTTTTACAAAACACGTCATTTAAAACATTTGATGCCAACAAATATTGAACAAAACACAAAGCCAGTAAAATTACTGTAATTGCCAGATGAGATTTAAAGCCCTTTCAACACAAAATCTTAATTTCTTCACATCTTTGCCCATTTTACCATTTTGTCTGTGCACATGTGCAAAATGTCACACAATAATTAAAGAAGTCTAAATATACAGCATGAAAGGGCTATTTTACACCTCTACAGGAATAATTGTTTTATGCCAATAATCCCATATTGAGTCCAATAAATGATCAATTATCTCAAGTAACACATTCTGCATATTTAATGTAAAATAAACATTTTCTATGTTAAATGTTAATGTAATCGAATAAAAGTAGAGCAGGCATTTCTACACAATAAAATGGGTTTGTTCCCTTTTGAATTTGAATTTGTGTACTACCTGATATTTGGGAATTCTAGCCCTGCTGTTTAATGCCATCAACGGTATTTGCTTTAGATCTGTAGTGCTGTGATATTGGCAGGCGTGCGTCTCCAGTGACCTGCTGCGGTCAGCAGCTAAGCGACACGGCCCAGGTCGTGGCAACTTACCCAGCGCAGCCACTGCAGCCTCAAAGCCCAGCTCCTCGTCGCCTGGCATCTCGTTATTACGATTCCGGCTCGGGGGGCGGGAGCCCGTGGGGGAAACCACTGGACAAATAGGACAGGGGGGGAAACAAAAATCAGGGAAAAAAGCCTCCCCCAAAATCACATTGTACTCACAGTCTTACCAATGTAAAAATAAAGAACGCAGCTCCAAACTATAAAAATAGATGCTAAACATCCGCGAGCATGAATTTCTTGGCACTGATGACCAGTGGCAGAACGAGTACTGACTTTCACAAGTAAATCACCAGTGATCTGAGTCAATAATGACTTAACTGTACAATTAAACATCACCCGTCCGGTTTCTGTGATACTTGAGCACCTTCAAACATGAAACTGTTTACTGTAACTGCAGTGTTGGTGTCACTAACCGGGAGTGCAGAGCACATCAAATATGAAGCTGGCCAGCATGAGGGGCAGCACAGGCCTGTAATCACAGAAGTTCCCATCTCGCAGCTGCTCTGCCCGGTCCCTGATGGCACTCATCTCCACCAGGCCCAGAGGGATCTTCTTCAGCAAGGCCACAATCTCCGACTCCTGGTAAGCCAGCTTCACCTGCAGGCACAGGGGACAGTCTCTACTCTCAAGCTGGAGCCACTACAAGGCGGCTGTGAGAGACAGCTGTAGTTTTGTCTGAAGTCACCAGAGGGCCTCAAAGCCCCATCGAAACCTAAACAAGAAAACCTGTGCTTCAAGAATCCACACGTGAGGAATTGGCAAAAAGAGCGGACTTGCATGAGAATTTTAATAAAACTCACGTGTCCCGGATGAAACAAAGAAGTGTAGTTATCAGGAAGAAGAGGGGACGAATGAGTAGACTGGGGGATACAATACTATTGTAAATCACTGCTATTCAATAGTACAAAACAGCACCCAGAAAAATCTTTTTCAACACTTATTCTAACAAAGTCTTGAAGGGGCCACACAGTGAAGAATTAAAATGTCCTTATTTCTCTCTTAAGAGAAATTACATGGATCAGACATCCGATGCGGTTTGAAGGCAGACTGGCCTCATGGCCTGAGAGAGAGCTGACCTTGCCGCTGCCCTCATGAAAGACGTCTGACCTCCAAGCCACAAATAGAGCAGACGTGTCAGAAGTGGAAGAGTTACATAATACATAGCAGCAAAAGATGAAAAGGTGACCCCGCAGTCTACATGGCTACAATGTCAACAATTCCAAGCGATTAGGTTTAAAATAGCTGCTACGTGTTCTTAATATCTCAGAATTGTGCCAAGGGGCCTCCCCAGTTTGAACCTCACAGGTTCAAGCCCGACCGAGACTGGGATTCCCCAGTTTTGGCTCACAATTGGCTAAGTGCTGCCGCAAGTGGTGGAACACTGACCCCTGCGGCCTCCTGGGAGCTTATGTAGTGAGGGTACGTGCCTCTCCTCTAAGATGCACCAGAGGTGCTGTGATGTGTTAAAAGTCAAACGGCACGAAAGTTCAGTTAAGTTTATTTGTCATACGCACAAGTGCAATGAAATGCTTATTTGCATGTGTGCTCCTATACAAAGGAGTCACCAAAACACAGAACAGCAGCAGCAACATCAACAAGTTAAATAACATCTAACTTAAAAAAGTCATTAAAACCATAAAAGGCCAGGTTAATTTTGTTGGCCTTTAGCACACTCGTCTTGAGAGCGAATCATGCACCAGGAAGAAAAGAAAGAAAGGTCCGGAAACAGCTCCATTACCTCCAGGGCCTTGGTGGAGGCCGGGGGCCGCTGCAGCTCCAGGGTGAACATGCCGGTACTGAAGGCCAGGTTGTGGTACTCGGGTCTCTCGCTCAGCACCGTCAGCAGGAAGGCCGCTTTGGAAAGGGTGTTGGTGGCCACCTGGGTCTGCCGGGTGGTTGACACCTTGCTTTTCTTGCCCTGTTGCGACACAGAGCAACACAAACACATGCAGCACACAGATCACCTTTAGGTTACAATGCTGGCATGTCTTTTGTTCAGTTACATACATTTCTATTTTCACTGACTTGAAAACAAAATCACAAAGTAATATAACTAAAACATCTGGGTAGACAACTAGAAGGTAGTGAAATATATAGGAACGCAAAGGTTCCTGAAAATAGTTTAACTCCTGGAGATTAAAAGCATGACAATAAAAATGTCCACAATTAATTATTCTGCTAGGTTTGACTAGGTAGGACACCCCCACCAGCTTTGTCATGAGCCTAGGACAAATGATACCCGACTGTGGGAATGCCAGCTTTAAGATCAGTTTAAAGGTATTTCACATAAATGTCGTCAAACACTAAATCCACACTGTACCAATTGAAGAAGGTCATTAGTCAAAAACAGCCCCTGGTGCTGCATTGGGCATCATTGTGCTATGCAGTAATGCCTAAACAGGTCTGCAGGAAACTGATGTGTACCATGCCACAATTTCCTACAATAAATGGCAGTCTATTTACACACTCACTGTACAAGACATCGCCTGCAGATTTCACCTCATTTTATGAGGCTCCTGCCAATTGCACCCCTACATTTGTCCCTCATTCAAAGTAATTGAGATCTTCTCTTGGCCTCTGTACATGACCTGAAGCATGCTGGGGTGTTATGTGCTTAATTAATGGAGTGAGCCACACCTGTATGGAAGATCTTCAAATGATGGTGCAGCTCATTTGACCAAGTATATCCATATTTTTGTCCAATACCTTTATAGATCAATATAAACAAGGTTTTCATCCAGCTAATGTGTAAATGGAGTAATTAAACAACTCAGATATCAGATCTCAGGCGGAGCCAACAGTCTCTGTAGCTTCATAGGTTGGAGATGACCACCCCTGTTCTGGACATTTTGGGCGCCTAGCTCGTCTTTCTGCCCTAGTGCTGTGTGCCAGCAGCAAGGTGACGGAATAAGCACCTTGGTCTGAGGCTGCTCCACTTTCAGGTCAGGAGGGTTGGCCAGCAGATCTCCAGCCAGCTCCACAGCCAGCCGGCAAGCCTCGTTACTGTAGCCATGGGCGTGGAGAGCCTCCGCACAGGCAAACAATACCTGGAACAAAGAGACACTCCAATGTCACTACTGTTACATAGCTTAAAACAACAAAAACATGTCAACATCGGAAAAAAAAAACTTTCACACTGCTGTAATCACGCCTTGGGAAATAAAAGCAAGTAACTCACATTGGTTGATGACAATTCTAAGCCCTTTTAGACATGTTGTATGTAAAACGGCTTCAGGAAGTCCTACTAAACCTTGCACAATGGCACAGAATCATACCAAGCATTCTAAATGTGACTACATCACCCAAACTGCAGAACCGGTGGATTGACCAGCCCAGAGGAATCAGAAGAGAAATACACTTTCCTTGAGCTGAAAACAACAGTGATCTATTACCTCTGGAAAATATAAACTATGGGCACCTGCAATAGAGGTGTCTACCTGCACTATGCCACCAATTCCAGTGGTAACCTTAACATCTAACTGGTAGATATAAACGATTTTCAGGATATTTACAATCTTGAGATGGCTTTGAAAAGTTTTTTTGGACAGCGTACAAAATTAGAAAACTGTTTTTTTTGTTTTAGTTAAAAGGAAAAAAACTAAATTACATGCCCCATATATTACTGTTATCTTAAGACCACTTAAACATTGTGGTCAAAAACTAGTGGAAAGATCTTATTTATCCTGTTTTCAAAACATCTCACATGAATGGCTAATGCTTCCTCAGAGGTGACTGCTGCACCTCTGAGGAACCTTACTACAGCACCTTACTACAGACAGACCTCTGACGTATTTAAAGGAACATGTCCAAAACGGGGGCATTCTCCAGCATCTGACATTTTCATACCTACTTACACGAGCATCTGTGTTAATTCTAGGCCAAGACTAGGCCTAGGCCAAACCCCCCAGATGCTCCTGCTTGAGTCTACTCTCTATTGTCTGATGTTCTATTGCTCACAATCCCTCTGTAAAGGGATTCCCTCTGCTTGGGTTTATACGGAAGGACTCCGTAAAGGCAATGCCTCCTTTGCCTTACCTCCATGCGCCCCTCCTGCTCCAGCGGTTTGATCCCTGCAAAGATGTCCGGCTCCTCTTCAGGATTGCCGTCAGGGGCTCCTCGCTCACCCCCCTCCTCCGAGGCCGCGCTGATGTAGTACGCCTGATAATCATCCTCCCCTCCTGCAGCAGCCTCCAAGGCAGGGGCCCCCTTCGCTCGGTCTGCTTCCTCCTCCTGGCGACTTCTGGGTGGCTTGGCAGAGGCGGCGGCGGCGGCGTGTTGGCCGTCCTCGATGGGGTCCTCGCTCCCGTCCTCTTCCATCTCCACCTCGACTTCCTTCTCCAGAGCCACCTCCAGCTCAGCCTCCTTCTGCAGAGCCACAGCCGCGCCCTCTTGAGAGCAGCGGGCTAAGGCCTCTGCAGCCGGGGTAGCGTGGGGCACCCTCGATGCCTCAAAAGGGGGCTCCTTGGGGCTGTTGCAACTGCCGTACTTTCGGGGCTCTCTCAGCAAGGGGCTCGGGGCAGGCAGCATTTCAGGTGGGGGAGGAAGGAAGTCAAAGGTGTTGCTGGCTTCCGCGCCCAGTGCCAGGCTGGACCCGTCATCCATGCTGAGCTCGGCCAGGTCTGGCTCCAGGGAGCTGTCTTCACTGCTGGTCCGGCGCTTGCTGCTCCCGTGTTTGCTGCCAGCGCTCATGGTGCCACCGCATGTTTTGCCTCCTTGGGCGAGCTTGGCTTTGCCACCAACGGAGGCAGATCCGCCGCTGCTCGACTTGTACATACCTTTGCTGTCATCCAAAGATAAGGATACCGCCCCCCCCAGTCTAGTTCCCAGCACCAGTACCCCACTGCCGCCCCCTGAGGGCAGTCCTTTCCTTTTGCCGACGATGTTCTCTTTGGGCCTGACGGCCGCTTCCTGTTGAGGGGGATGAGTGATGCGGGTCTTGTACTCGGAGCTGGCCCCGCCCTCCGCCACGCCCACTCGGCCGGCCCCCCCACCCAGCTCTTGGGGATCCCCCAGCCCGGCCCTCCCTCCCCGCTGCTGCTGCACTGCCCTGGCCCAGCAGAAGGAGGCACTTTTTTTGTCAGAACTACAGTAAGTAATGCCGGCCAAGGGATAGGCCACCTCCCAGCTGAAGTAACAGGACTCCACGGCTGGTTTGAAACCCTGGAACAGCTTGTCCAGAGACTTGCGGTGCTGCCCACGCTTGACAATCTCTATCACCTTCAGGTGCCATTGCTTTAGCTGGGCACACAGCTCCCAGCGTCTAGAGACAGAGAGAGACCAAAAGATCAGCAGGTGACCATACCCATCCCTTCTGTCTAATGACTGTACACTTGGCAACCATTGCTGGACAAATGCAAGCAGGCAAAGTAACTGATGCGACAAGATAAGCAAGACCGTTTGTGATATCTGGCAGAGAGAGTTAGCAAGGCTATGGGTAATAAGGTACACATCACAACGATCAACCCAGAATTACTAATGGGCAAAAAATAAAGTTGCTTTCTAATACGTCTTGCTATGAAATATTAAGTAATATTGCTGACGGCAGAAACTCTACAAATGTCACGATGGAACATTTTTCACTAAAACGTATGTCAGCTATCCAAAATTAAAGCCAGATTTGTCTGACCAGCTAAGTAAGGCAAAACCATTTTGATGAGATGCATTTAAGGAACATAAGATGGCTGCAGAAAGCACTACAAGTGGATCTCAAGTTACTTCCGGGATGCAAGTCTAGGGCCGGTAGTGATAACGCACCCAAGACTGCTGTCACAATATCCTTGCTGTCAAAGCTAGCGGCGCTGTGAAAGCCTCTTCCTGAGTGTGTGCACGTACCTCTGAGGGTTCATGGTGGGATCGAGCACAGCCAACCGCCAAAGCACCACCATCTCGTCGCACATGCTGGCACAGGCATGGGCTGCCACCTCCGACTGCCCGTTGCTCCGGCCCGTGTGCCCGCTGGCGCTGCTGTGAGAGGCGGACGTGCGAACGCTGTACCACCAACCAATAATCTGGGGGGTGGGGAGTATCCGGTCAAACACACAGCTCCAAGGTAGAGCATCGGTCGGTACGTCCCAAAGGACACTCAAGAGACACTTAAACAAATGTGCACATTTTGTAGGCTGTAACATGCTGCATATTAATTCTTACCTTTAATTATTCTATTAATGCAACAATACCTCACCACATTCAAGTATCTGTATCACTGAACAACTTACATAAAAAATATCACATTAAGATTCCCCGTACGAGTTCACTGATGACAGACTATTTTAACACTGTGGCAAACTGTGTCTGTGCTTGGTGTGGGAGTAGGATAGTGTCACTACAGTAGATGCCTTCATTTCAGCATGTCTACATGCGTGCCCAGGTATGGATCTGTGCGTGCTGCACCTGCTCGTAAGTGAGGCACTGCTCAGTCAGGATCTCCAGCAGCGGCACAGCGTTGCTGTCTCTTCTCTTGAACATCTCTCGGACGATGGACAGCAGGTTCCAGATTCCCTCCGGCTCTCGGCCTCTTAGAGGTCTCAGCAGGCAGGCCCACTCTGCAGCGGCTGGGGGCTCGGTGGAGGACAAATACATGGAGTTCACGTCACTGTGGAGAGACACCAGGTCACATACAAGGAGGTGCGCCTCATCTGACAACGGCTACCCTATCTGCGCTCCCCTAACGCTCCTGAAGTTCACGCTTGTTCTGCTTGGAATCTGCAGCTAAGCTTTACTGTCCAAAAAGCAAAACTCACTTGAGTCTGCTGCTGTTTCTCATCCAGCCCCTGGGAGAGGCAGGAGCCATTCAGGCATTAGAGGTTTCTGCACAAGAGCAGGAATCCGCAGACTCCAGTGCGCCTTGTAAAAGTCTCCGCGGGAGCCTAGCTGTGCTTTTAAACTACACAGAGATCAGACCTTACCAGCCAGTGCCAGTGGCAATCAATACACTTTCAGCTAGAGAAGGCAGGAACCTTCACTGTATGTGATGAACAATCATGTAGTGGCACCTACAGCGCAGGCAACTCAATTACATAAAATGTTTTCAGAACCAAATAATGTTTCGAGTGTTTTCAAGTCCTGAACTGACAAGTGATTTTCTTTTCCGTGAGACTGCTGTCTGGTTCACTGTTCTGGCACACATCTCACCTGAAGACAACAGGCGAAGGCCCGCAGAACTTGTGCAACGTCTTCTTGATGTTATCGCTGAGTGTCGATTCGTCCAAATACCAGGTGCTCTGGTCAGAAGCGGACGGGCCCGCGGTAGGATCTGGACAGATACACAATTACGTTTCACTCAGTGAGTTACCTGCCATTTCAGTCTAAAATTACAGAAAGATCTTCTGTAAATCTCATGGCGGCTGAAACCAGAATGTCCGTTATGAGGTTGCAAATCAAGTTAAAACACTGATGTGGTGCACACATGAACTAATGTCACTGAAATGATTATAGTAAGATACCTTTCTGCCTTGACACTGAAATAAAACAGCAGTAATAAAATCCAAAACCCAAAAAAGGAGCACAAGCTATAACTGAAAGCACTATGCTTGAACTACTACAACTGGCAATGTGATTTCGAGGATTCTCGTTTTAATATGGCAAAACTCTGTAGAAGCCTGTTAAAAAAGGCTCACAAATTTGTTGAAGTATTAGTTTTTAAACAGTAGGTGCTCATCTTATCAGAGAGGAGTGTGAGGATGTGAGTGAAGGCTGTACCTGGGGCTCCACAGACAGTGTTAATGGCTGTGGACTGAGATGACAGCAGCTCATCCAACAGGCGTTGGGCAGTGGGCAGGATCTGGAAGACATAACAGGACAGCCTGCTCACAGACACAGGCTTCTGATTTTAGCTCCACTCAATCTCTTAATTATTGAGGTCGATCATACCCTTTAACTCCAGTTTGCTTAATCTCTAGTTTAAATGCTTGAAAATACTATTTCATTCTGAAATTAGGATTAACACTTTACCAGCCACCTTTAAAAACAATTAATGTAAAGAGCAGGAGCTTGTATCTTCTTGAACCCATACAGAATATTAATGAAGTTTTAGCTGTACTGATGCATCCTTAAATTGTACCTTGAGAAGAGTAGTGAAAAACAGTTTGAAAAAAGGGACATACTAAAGAAAATAATTTGATGAAGGGTTCTCAATGAGCCTGAGTAAGAGCTCAGCTGGAATGAAAACCAGACTAGGTACTGGTTGATCTGTCGGAAGGGGAGAGCTGTCCAGTCTTACCTGCTGGGGCAGTTCACTGATGAGGTACTGGGCGAACTTCTGCAGCTGGTCCCTCTGCAACCTGGACAGCGATTCGGACACTGGGGCTCGCAGACACACCGCCGACGCCTGAGGGCCAGGAGGAAAGCATCAGTACTGCCTGTCAGTCACACCTTCCTCTTCAAATGGAGAAGAACAGTATGCAGTTTGCTCAAGTGATATCTAATGAGCAAACAAGGCCCTTACAAAACTAGGTCTCACTGAATATTGCAACCTGCATATAATTTAAATAATCAGATATTTCACTGTTACGCCACCAATCAGAAAGACGATCAGTATGCTTGAGCAAATTGAGATTTATTAAACAGTGCAAATTTGCCAAGTTGAAATATCGGTAATTGGGGAAAAAAAAGTTAAAAAAGGAAACTCCTTCAAATATTTCTTTTGCAGAAGAAATGTTTCATCATGCACTGTCAAAGCTAGGAAGCATTTTAAGATCTACATATGCATCTGGCTACAGTAGAATCTAAATATACATGTATGATTAAAGACTGATTTGATTTTTACAGTTTCCTTATTACATGAACTTTCATTATGAAAGTGTACTTTTATAATTCCAGAATTTGCACAGGGTTTACATGATAAAAAATGTATTATGCTTCTATTTCATTATTAGTTGGACTACAGATGACAGGATCACTCTCGCCCTAATTGAGTCTTCAAAGCATCCATTCACTCTCAGTAAGCTGCTTATCTTGCTGAGGGACACCCTGAGCCGAAGCCTATCACGAAGGCTCAGGAGGCACATGGGAGGCACGTGACAGCCCCCCTCTCTCCACCCCGACGGGATACCAGACCACTGCAGGAATCCTCTGCAGCCGCCATTGAGACTTAGCCAGCAGGGCTGTGGAAAGGGGGAGGGAACTGCAGAACTTGGCACAACTCTCCCTCTCAAAAAATATTTAGGAGGACGTGCAAACTCCACACAGACACCCATGGTCAGAACTAGACTGAGGAGCTGCGAATCAATGGCACTAACTGCCTAGCCTCCAATGCTGCCCATTTCAAAGCATTCTGACTTAAGAGACAACTCAGCTGAACTCGTGTTCAGATTTATCCTTTTCATTATGGCAACATAGGAAAGACTAACAGTGGGGTCACCGGCAATCGCCGGCGGTGGCCAGACTCTGTGGTCATCAACAGAAATGGCTCTAGCAACAGTCCTCAAGCTGAAAACGTCGGATCTAGGGTCAGGACTAAATGCATAATTTGTAGCCACACAAAGGCACTTAGAAGGCAACAGCTTCTGCAGAACTCCAAGACAACACTGTCTCTCAGCTTCCCCTGAAATGGAAAAATGCTGAAAATGGCAAAGAATGCAGATCCTTGAAAGGTAAGACTCTTATGCTGGCACCGAGATGCGGCTCAGATGATTTACTATATAGACTGAATAGCTACACCCTCTCAGGTGTCCAGCTGTCAGGAAAGTACATTACCACAAAATCACAGAGAGGCAGACACTTACTGAAACTACAATTTAGAGCTTTCCCCACCAATGTGCAGCCAGTATTTAGACTTCATTCACACCAGCACAAGACACTTAGGACACTTCCCCTGAATTAAATGCTGAAAACACAAAACCCTTAGTTTTTACCTGCCATAATTGTTAGCTGTGTTATATAAATGATATAGATGCATTCTGGATTATGTATTTGGAGAAACAATGTTGATGTAATTGTTAAAAAGCATATACTGAGATACTATTCACACGCAAAAATGTAATTAAGTTTTCTCCAACCTTTCAATAGTGGCATGCCAAGAGTTAACTTCCTCACTTCAATGACTGGATCTATGTGCCACTGATACTTTAACATCAATAATAGTCCTACTTGCATTTTAGCAGCGTCATTAAAAAATAAAGACGCCGATCTGAGGGTTTAGCACAACCCTTGCCCTTGCTGGGTTCTCCAATCTCAGGCCAATAGTTTGGTGCTTAAAGCAGAGCACAAACCTCTGTGTGTTCTGTTGTTAACTTAAGAACTGACTTCATACGTGAAAATATCTGCTCCCAGAGGAATGCAGATCCAAATGCTAAGAGCAGTGAAAAACCCAAGTCAAAAGTCAAATTTCACAAGCAGGGACTTTCAACAGGTCACAAGAGAGACCCTGTGAGCTCTCTTGGCAGCCTCCAATAGGTGCCACTGAGCTAGAATCCTAAGCTTCAAGGCCCATTAAGTCTGAGCATTGTAATTCAACAAATAAAATAACACATTTTAAAATCCTCAAGAACCCCTTCACCGTCACACTGTTAAATCCACAAGAGTGCCTGGTTTGAGTAGAAAGGAGAAGATTAGGCAAAAACACTAAAAAAAGAATTTTAATTACATTAAAGGTTAACTAAATATTTCATTCCATTCCTAGAACACTTTATGCCATTTCACTTAGTCATCTCTCCACCCATCTCATTGACACAGGTAAGCCTTTTAATATGGAGACTCTTTTTTAGGTAAATCGTCAAACAGCACATTTGAACAACTGTAAAACGCCATTTATATATTTCTCATCTGTCAACGGCTTTACATGTTCCACAAAACATTGTGCTTTTTGTAATTTCTCTCTGTGGCTTGATTTTTGTTGACACTGTCAAGACACGGCTCTGATTTCTATATCTCACGATGGCCCACAGGACAGACTCAGCCTGGTCCGCCTCATCCTACAGGTGTTTCCTGTGCTTTGTCTGAAAATGTCATTGGATGCTGGATGTGTGAATAATGATTAAATTACTTATTTAATCATTATAAGTAGAAGATTGAATCGTTCTTTTTATGTCAAAGAGCTGTCATTGGGAAGCATAATTTAGAGATTGAGAGCAGTCAAGAATACTTTTTGATTTTTATTTTCTTGACAGCAATTCCTAGAGCCAAGGAAATAATCAATACTGCTCTAATCATGTTATGGTTATATAAAGCAAATAATCCTCTAATCAGCAATAAGCAGAAATTAACATTTACTGCCTGCGAGAGATCAGATGAAATGGGGTTTAACATGGGTATTCTAAATGCTCAGAGGCATTTATCAAGTCATTTCAGTCATCTATTATCAGCAATAATGCAAGGAATCAGCGTTTTGAGCGAAAGGCAAATTCCAGAACATTCAGAAAAGGTAACACTTCTTTACACAGGGGATTGAGAGAGCCTTTCTTGAAATTCTTGGGTCATGAAGCGACTAGTAACAAAACAAACGTGTTTTGAATGGCTGTCGTTTATATCTCCTAAGTTCACAGTTCACACAAACAAACTAGAACCTTTTATACTAGCACATCCACATATTCAGGAAAGGAGAAGTGATGGTCACGAACCCTTAATTACCATTCACATGAAAAGCAATTGAAAGAAAATTTGCAATTGTTCAAGGTTTTTTAGCAATTGTGTGCAGACCAACATCAAAACAAAATGAAAGCATTGCAAACACAAGCATATGTGGCAAACAAGGTCTTCCTTTTGAATTCATCTGCAAATCTCAAGCTTCTTCCTTTCCTAACCAATAATCAAATTACTTCATTTGCATAATTCACGTCAGTATTTAAAAAGAAGTAAAACATCTTCAAGCAAAAGAGAGCAAAGCAAGATAAAGCTGTAGGAAACTTGTTTACCCAGACTTTCAGTGCATTCAACAGGCACTTAACCATTATGATTGGTCAACGGTAAAAAGTGGTAACATACCTCAAAAATAAGAGTGCGGAGTACTGATAGTGGAGCGCTGATAGTCTAGGCTCCATACAATGACCCTGCTGTCTCGAATCCTGCTGGTTTAGCGCCACTGGATTTCGAAGGGTGGGAGTCCAAGTTCCCTTTTCCTTGACTTATGCAATAGAAACACCTGAGAGCTGCCACCTGACTGTGAGCTTGCAGCAAAATCCCGAGAGGCACACCATTCACCTAATTACATCGAAAGGTACCAACTGATGCATAAATGATAATAATAATAATAATAATAATAATAATAATAATAATTGCTTACACTTGTATAGCGCTTTTCTGGACACTTCCCTCACAGCACAAAACAGGTCATTAGGACACCCCTCCACCACGACCAGTGTGCAGCCTCAACTGCATGATGCGACAGCAGCCATAGTGCGCCAGAACGCTCACCACTCATCAGCTATCAGTAGGGAGGAGAACAGAATGATGAAGCCAGTTCATAGATGGGGATTATTAGGAGGCCATGAGTGGTAAGGGCCAATGGGAAATTTGGCCAGGACGCCAGGGTTACACCCCTTAACTTTTCGGGAAATGCCCTGGGATTTTTAATGACCACAGAGAGTCAGGACCTCGGTTTTATATCTCATCTGAAGGATGGCACCTTTTTACAGTAGTGTCCCTGTCACTATACTGGGGCATTGGGACCCACACAGACCAGAGGGTGAGGGCCCCTACTGGCCCCACTAATACCTCTTCCAGCAGCAAGAAGATTATCTCTGAATGGGAAAGAGCAAGATGAGGCAGACTAATAAACTTGTGATAGTGCTATTAGCATCCAAGACTGCGGAGAAATAAAAGGGTATTTTGATGGTTAACGACACTGAAATTAGGGTAAAACATCCTGTGTCAAAAACCTAATGTATTTCCAAATATACCACTTTCTTCTCACTAAGTCTGTCTAGGATTTACTGACACAACAGGGACCACCAGAGGGAATATAACAAGCTCTCTGAAGCAGCAGGAAGCAATAGCTGTTTTAATAGTGGTGCCATGCAGACATTTCCTTTATCCAAAAGGATATTTGACCATTTTTCCCCCGTAAGAGTTAATGGAGCTGTGGAAGAGCCATCCATCATCCACACACACACAGAAAAGAAAGATTCAAGCAGCTCAACTCCTCCAGTGTAGTCAAACGTTCAAAGCTGAAAACCTCCCAGAAATCCCTATATTGAAGCCTTAACAAAACGGATAGCAGCAGCGATAAGGTTTTATCTGCATTATAATCTGCAGATTTTAAGTCTCTCCCATTCTGATGCCCTTTGGAAGTAACACCTTGCGATGGAGCTTTAGAATTTTCACCCAGCTCATATCAAATCTTGCAAGTCCTTCAATACTTTCAAATCTGGTCTTAAAGATTCTTATAAAAGCATTTAATTCTGCTGGATTTACAGGTTTCATTTTAATTATGCCTTTTAATTGAGATGATGCATTTTGAAAGGTGCTATACGAAAGATTATGTTGTTTGCAGCTCAGTTATCATCCACTTAGCAGTAAAAGATTAGTCAGCTGGGACCTTGAAGCTCACCAAATGAAATTAATGGCATAAAGAACAAACTTTTTACATGACTGTCAGTTGTGATGAGTGCAAGATCATTCTGAATTCTAGTTTAATTCTATAACTAGCAAATTAAATTTAAGATTCTCAGCACATTTTCAATTATTACAGTCCTTACAGTTATCAGCAGACTGTTGGACGTGATATGTAAACTCTGTCTGCCCCAGATGATGGAGGGGAATTTCTCTGTGAGTAGCTGCGAAGATAAACATGCAGATAAGTCCCTGGTGAAAACCACACTGCGCCTTCACAACACTGACACCAAAAGGGCAAGCTAAATTCAGACACTGAGACCCACACACACCGTTTTTACACCAATAAACAGCTCTCAGGCTCTTTCTGTACAGCCTCCTACAATAAAAAAACATTTTGAAGGCACCAGCAAAAATGAGTGAGAAACTTAATAATTTTCTTGAATATTCAGACTTTGACAATTTCCGTTGCCATGGCCATACACAAACTTTGGGACAAGAGGACCCCTACCAAATTACTCAAAATATCATTAGTTCAGTTTAAGTCTAGAATTAAGTACAGTGATTTTTTCCCCAACATTAAATGTAATAGGAAAAAATTCACAATAAAGTCAATTTGTCAATTTCAAGGAACAGTTTTTATTCACTTCAACTCCTTCCACAGAGGCATGTACATCAGAAATGCATACAAACTATAAGACCATAAAGAGAACTCCATATGTAACATACACACTATGTGAGCTTCTAAGGAACAGCAGTGCAATAAAACCTGTGCTTTGTATAACTTGGGTTTAACTATGGGCTTTCTCCACATGTCTACTTGAAAGGAACATAAGCCTTTTAAAAGCAGCTGTTAGCAAAAAGGTGTTTTATATGGCAGCCACACTATATTGCTGAAACAACGTTGTCAAGGGGTCAGCTGTGCTATTTCAATTTCGGTGTTGGAGACCACTTTATGAATGGCCCTGACATAACAAGAAGGAACAAGCCCTAAGTGCCACAGAGCCAGCACACATTATAAAAGGTGTTTGATGTGCTTGGACCTGCAGTTTGGGTAGCAGAATGGGTTTTTTTTCTACATTTCTAGTTTTGGGGTTTTTTTGCAAAGCTTTTACGTTTTTTAAAGCTTTTTTATTTCACTTTTCACCCATAAAAGTGTTCAGATGGAGCACTGAAGCTTTGCTTTGGAATTAAACAAAAGGGGGACATCTTTGGAATACTTTCGCAAGGTACTGTATTTCCTCAAAAAAAGCAATATAAACAGATAGCTGACTGCTATATCCCAAACCAGCCCAGATGTGAACTTGGACAAGTGCATCCAAGGTGAGCAATGTTATTCCAAAAAGTGTTTTGCTTTTCTTGGGACAAACTGGATTCAACCTAAGGACACTGGTTTAATGACCACAGGTTTAGGATATATACAGAACAAGTAACCACACAGGACAATTCTAAATCTAAATTCCAGTTGTTTGCTAACATTTGTGCAGTGGAACTCCTTCATAATTGCATAATTGCAGCACAGTATTGAAATCATGCTACAGCTGTGAGCACCTATTTACTTTACAGCTGACCTAGTGGTTTCAGTACCTCAGGTAAAGGTAATGACAGTCCTTTGTACCTCAAAAAGGTCACAGAAAAATACAAATGGCTGAAAACTGCATGTACAAAACAGATCTTTCAGAGTTATATGAACTCTGAAGACTGCATTCCTATTTTATTATATAAATAACTGATAAATGTACCACATTTTCAATGTTGTCCTTGAGTCATTTTCAGCAGTTACAAGAGAATAGTGAACTTAAATGATAGACGCACACAAGTTCCCACTATCTCAGCTTTAATTTTGACAAAGGACTGAGAAAGAAATGACTCCTAAGAATTACAACTATTTTTTTTCATTCTAACTGCAGAAGCAGCTGGTGTGAGGGGGCAGTTGGTGGTAGTTAATTTTCAAAAATCCCCCCTTTATACACATTTCAGACAGACAAGAGAAACTGTTACAAATGTGTGAATAACAAGACGGGATTCCCTGGTTTTGCCTTCAATTGTAAGCTGTATATTATCTTCACTATCACTCATTTTGACAAACAGTAAAACAGCACTACACGTCTGAAATACCCAGGTCAAATTGCGCATTAAGTAGGGAAACATATTATATTTTAGTATATCAAAGTTATGTTTAACTACAATTTCACATTTTATAATAATGCCTTAGCACAGGGTCATCTTAATCACCCACAGTAAACAATTAGAGTAAGTCTACTAAGAAACTGAATTTATTATAATTACACAGCTTGAAAAACTGCAGGCTTGGTCAGTAGTAAGAATCCTTAAAATACGCAGAGAGGTTTTTATATTCACTTATGCTAAAAAATTGTGGTCCACTTATTAGCAACTGGTACTAAAAACACATTAGCTTATTTGCATGAAATAAGATTGATTCCTTCCCTTTAAAAAGCGACAACGGTCAGTCGGAGAGATGCGTAAAGGAGAAAATTCTCAGAAAACAAGCAGTCTCATTATCAATTCTCTGATAATGAGCAGGCAGCTTTCTTTTACCAGTTGCCACTGCTTAAACTACCGCAATTATTATTATGGAAAAAGAAATGGAAGAAAGAGTGCATTGTAGGATTTAAATAAACCTAAGAGAAAATGAGGAACTTTTGTCTCAAAATGGAGTCAAATTTGTCAAAATGTCTGAAAATGAAATATTTCATACCCATTTTACTGAAAAGAGAAACCTCAAATTTCATAATTGAATCAAACTCAACAGCGTAATCAAAGGTACTGTGAGGAGGAGAATATGTGATTCCAACTGAAGAAGGTACAACTTGGCGGCCTGCAGCTAACGCAAGAGGCTACAGTGCACCGAAGAGGAACCTGCTGCCCACAATGCTCTTTGATGTGGCCGGAAGCCTGATCCCAACAGACAGTTGAAAGCGCCCATACAGAGCTCATACCAGGGCTGTGCAGAGCCTGTACACCCACATATCAGGACTGTGCAGAGCTGCAGCTCCACCCTAACACAACGAACTCTGCAGCACAGAAATCACACAGCCCCAGACCCCATCACACAGCCCTAACACACTGAGCTCTGGGAAACACACACTCACACAGCCCTACCACAAAACTCTGGAGCATATACACCAACAGCTCTAACACGTGTAGCACTGAGCACATAATACAGGCAATTGTTAACTCTAAACATATCTACTGTGATTTTAACAGTAATCTGTATAAAAAAACAAATGATCATTTCCAGACCCATTTTTTTTTTACTTCTCTAATGCAGATTTTATGTAACATGAACTTTAAATGCTATTTCCAGTTTAGGTCAGTAAGTCCCTCTAAGACATGGGAGTGAAATGACTAATTGTAAATGGTTGGTAGGTGGAGGCACAAGGGGCTGAACGACAGATATAGCAAAGAAGTACCAAAGCATCCAAGGAACCACAGAAAATCTCAATGACCAATATGAGCGTGCACGTGCATACACACTCACGCATATAATAAAAAGAGCACTTAGATCGATTGGATCGTACCACCTTGTAGCCGTTATCCGACACTCGCTAACACTAGCAGTGCTGTCTGTGTCAGGTTCAGCAGCAGAGCTCGTGTCGGTGGCCGACGTATCTCAACGGGTGTGCGTGATCTATCAGAGCTGGCGCCGGTACTCTTGGCGTCTATTCCTTCCAGCCATGACATAATACCTGATTTTTAAGAGGTATTCATTTCCAATCATTTGTTCTCTTGGCGAATGTGGCGCTAAGCTGTGTCTCCGAAAGCTCGAGATGAGTATGAACACTCAAGTATTTGCGTGCGCTGTATCGATGTAGTTAAGTACGTAGGCTGCGTATTTGACAAACTAATTTTATTAAAATAGAAAATGTGAAAACCCGTCTCAAGCTGTCTGAAACGGATGAAGTCAATTACAGATTAAAAATTGAATAATGAAAAATAATGTACATTTTTAAATCCCAATTTTTCAGCACACACAACAAATTTCCAGGGTCATCTGGCATACCAACCGGGGGTGCTCCGCTACCACCAGTGGTTCACATACCACAGTTTGAGAACCACTGCTCTAGCTGAAAGACAGCAGGAGATGAACAAGGGACCTTGCGGAATCCGCAAAGACACACCTGAATATTAGCATGTTATTTGGGGATTTTTGGACCTGTGGATTCCTACTCACATTGTGTATTCTGAAGAGGCATAACGCCACCACATGGGCACACCACTTGGCTCCGGCTCCACAGGTGCAGCTACAGGAAGTGATGCGGCAGCGGTCAAACATCACGGCCACGTTGTAGGCACCTTTCGACTGGGCCGCTTGGGGCGACATCACCGTGGCACTCAGATGGAAACCTGGCAGGAAAGAGGGGGAGAACACATCTCACTGCTCGACGAAGGCCAGAGAACACTTTTTAAAAATCAGTTTAACTTCCCCTACAGCTCCTTGCCAAATTATAAAGAGTTCTGGTGCAAAGATAATGCATAACCATACCAAGCCAAAAATTAAACTAAAAAGAAATGTGAGGAGATTCCTCCCATGTTAAAAGTGAGAGTAGTTTTTCTGCATATTTGGTAGATTTAATTCAGGACGTAAGGACTAACTAGGTCTGCCAATATATGTTCTACTGAAACCTGAAGATTTGTATAGCTGGCATAAATTTGGGCATTTGAGTAAGATTTCCCTTATCACAAAGGTATATTTGCATTGAACACAATTTCAGCTTCCTCATGCATAAAAGTAGAAAATCCTCAAATATTTAAAGACCACCAATAGCATATATAGAAATTAGAGATTACATAGAGATTTTGAAATATTATACATTCTACTGTTCTTTTGCTACGCTCTGTTGTTACATATCTGATTGAAAACACTTTGAGAAGGCTCTCCAAGAAAAGACAATAAAACAAAACAGATTTGATTAAAATGTCAGGGGTGGTTTATCAGGGACTTTCAGAGCGTGATCACAGGCTAGCCCTCTCATTTACAGAACCCAGATGCATCGTGGTGCCCTAAACCAGGCAGGGAGGAAATGAAACACTTATTTTCATATTGCCAGGGATGACAGCCACAAGCTTTACACACAGGCTGCCTGCCAGTTGTCCTGGTGAACTAATAAAGGCTGAGGAAGGTGGACTACACCTAGAGGAAGCGCTTTAATAGAATGTATAGTTCCAAGATAAACAAGATCCATTAGGGGCTGACCATGTTCCTGTATTTCTTAATGTAAATACACTGGTTGGGGCCACTTTAACACCGTCAGCTCCTGTCAGAAACACTTTATCTATACAGAAAACGTTCAATTCTTTCCAAGGATAGTAGGGGGAAGCAAAACTGTTAATTATAAGCCAGCAGAACCAAGTAAAACTGCTATATTTATCTGTGCTTTGCAATGCTTACCATAAAAACTATATTTAAATACAACTGTGATTAGTGGTTTCACTAAAACTGCTAGAATGGAAACTAGACAAAAGAGCAGTTGTGTTCCTTAATTACACTACACTTCAATTGAATTAAGTATTCTCATTCCCAGGTCATTAACAATAAAAATTGATGAACTTTCAGTTTGTGATGGGCAAAATATTCCCCATCTCTTAAAACCCTTTCAGAGGTACTGCATGGCTACTATCACACTTTAGTTTAACTCAAGTCAAACTGGCCTGGCAGGACTGTTGAGTACTATTTAACTCTGTAAGCCTTTAATAATCAGAGAGAATCTACATTAATCCATTTGTGCGGGTATGAAGCACCATAAAATCGGAGCTGCTTACCTCAAAATAACAACTGAGGAGCATAATTCCTCAAGAACACACATCTGTTATATTCTAGTTTATACAAACATTATTTTATGATTGGGAGAGATGGTAGGTATTTCTCAGAGCTGCGGTGCAATACACACTGTCCTCAGTTCACAGATCATCAATGCTAAGAGCAGATCTCACTCCCTATACAGCCTTCCTCTTCCCATCAGTATATGAATCTATGCACTGCAAATAAGTTAACAGATTCCTTCTGTTTTAAAAGCAATAACAGTCTGAAAGAATCTGAAACTTAAAATAGTTGGGGACAAAAGTTCCTAATCCTAGTATTTACCTAGTATACCAAACCTTAGCTGCCCTGAAGCCTGCTTGAAGCTCTGCGAGTATTGATTCTCTTGAAAATGACCCTGGACACTGGTGAATGGCATGCGGTTTAACTTGGAATGCAGAACATGCTGAAGGATGGTTTTGTTGAACGGCTCTCGTTTAGGACCACAGTTGGCTTTACAGGTGGGTTGTCATCTGCATTTACACTCGGGATTAATGCATTTTTCCCCCACTGGATCACCATGAGCTGGCAGTGTGCTGCTCACAGCGAAAAGCACTCGTTTGAAAATCAGGTGAAATCCGTAACATTCTACAGAAATCTAAGTAACATGGAAGACCCAACAAACACAACACCTGAACATTAAATCCCCCATCCCAGCCTCAGGGGACCTCAGAGCTGGAAGCGAGATACAGTTCTCACGTCTGTTGCAAATCTCCAGGCTTCAACAGTCCCCTCTTACTGAAGCCATGGATCCTCACAGGGCCCAGTTCTTCCACAGTTTCAGATCCAGCAACTGGTCCATTCTGCTGTCCCTGCAATAATTCTGTCTGGCTCCACGGTAAGAACTCCCACAAGCTTTCTAAATAAAACGAAATGAATTGGCCAATTCGACTGCAGAATAAGTGGAGTTGTCAAGCATGTGGCAGTAATGCTAGTTTGGTTTCTAATTCAGTTTACAGTAAGGGTTTATGATTTCTTAAAATGTGAGGCAAAAATAGTGAAATTATTCTTAAGAAATCTCTGAATTGAAACCCCTTAATATTCACGGGCCATGTGCTGACTGAAGCCAATAAGCTCATGTAATGAAGCCTGAGCAGCCATCTCCTCCTGGATGGGCTCCCACCCTGTTAAACTCCACCTAAGTCCGACTCCTCTCTCTGTAACCCCCCTCCTCTGCGGACCTCTCCGTTGCTAATTCTTTTGATTCCGCCGCCCTCTCCTGACCCTTCTCTGCCAGGAGCGGCGGACACTCTTGACCCCTCCTTCTCCAATTCCCCCATCACATTTCTCTGGTAAGGGTCAGTCACTTTTTTTTCCCCCTCAGCAAGAGTTCGAGAATCTGCCCCTTCCACATGGAACTCCTGTTCCTCGCTCACCTACACTACTGCAACTCCCACCTGGCCCGTCTCCCTGCCAACGCTATCCGCCCACAACAAATCCACAAAGCTGCGGCTCACCTTATCTTTTTTTCACGTTCCTCCATCTCTCCAGTCCCTCCACAAGGACTATAGTGCTGCACGTATTCAATTTACAACACTCGCACCTATCAGCTTCTCCAGTACCTTATCTCTCCCTACACTCCTTCTTCCACCAGACTGTCTGTACCCGTCTCCTTCTTCCCAAAGTCTGAACCATCCTCCACCTTCACCTCTCTGTGGTGCCGTGACCTACCCACAGAAATCAGAACTGCTGAACACCTGCACTAGACTCATTTGTTTAGACTGCCCTGGTGATCTCTCGGCTCTCAACTCCCTTCTTCAATGACTCTTACACTGTATTGCACCGATGGTTTTGACTCCCCATTTTCCTTCCCATCGGGCTGTTTTCATTACCATTTTCAATCCACATTGTACTTGTCTTTAATTTTGCCTAGCTCATACTGCCAAGAAAAGCATTGCATTGCACTTCCAGCTATGTTACTTTCTTAATTAACTCCTGTACTTGCACGATTGGTCCTTGTACCTACAGAACATAAAACATGTACTACATAGATACACACACGTAACCCTGGATAAATGCACCTGCTAAAAAAAGTAAAGTGGACTCAAGAAGATTTTGATAACACAGTATTAAAACACCAGCATGAGTGTCAGGAGAGAGAAACAAGTAGTGCACATTCACTTAAGTTTGTATCCAACAGTGACACAGGCCCATATATACAAATATATAGTTTGATCTTGATAAGGGATAAAAATGCAGCAAATATCTGCTATACTTAAATTCACAAGTCACTTGTCTAGCAGAGAAGGGGCCATGTACTACAATTCCTGGATCTGTCCAGGAAGCAATTTCCTTTCTACATTCAAGAGCACACTGGTGACCAGGAGGAATTTGGAAAGAGTAGATAAAGAGCTGGCAGTACATGAAAGTTAAATTTATTGTTAGAGAGATCAGTACTGAGACAATCTATTCACCCGGCATCGCCCTCCCTCCTGTAGCCAGAATGATAAATCGGTGTTCCCACCTCAATAATATCAGTCCTTCGGATAAAAAAAATAAAAGCACTTCAAGTGTGAAAATGAAAAGCTCACAACCTCGCCAACTGAATAGCTACGGATGACTACTTCAGAAAGAAAAAGCAGATAGGTACCGTCCCCATCTACTGCAGTCCAATCGTCAATCCATCATTCCCTAATTCACACACAGCCCAGTATCTGTACATGAGACAATCAACATGCACACATTAAGAAGAACCTAATTCTTAGCACAACTCACGCTGTGTTGCACTGTAAATTGTGGAATTAGGATAACCCTAGAGCATCCTAACACTTCTACTTTTGACTGTTAGTCTTGGGTGACACTTGATGTAGAATTGCTCTGAAAGTAATGACCTGCCGAGAAACGCATCAAAGAGCTTAATAAAAAGAAAGTGCATCTTTCCATCAGCTGCCTCATGAAATCCAAGCTCGCTGTACGAACAAGAATTCTGTCCATAAAATGAAGTCCGAATTCATTTGTGGCCAAGTGGCCAAGACCACTTTTACGTTATGATGGAAAATTTCAGAATTATTCCCAGGAGTAGTTCCGATAGCACTTAACTTCTCGCCTGGCAATCTGCTGTTTATTACGGCTTTGTTGCCCCCCTGCCAATAATCGAGCAGCAACAGCACCACGTGCTGGGACAAACATGTATTCTCTGTAAAAGAAACTGCAATGAACTGGAGATGTTCATTAACAATTCTAGTGCATATCTTTTATAAATAAGTAAAAAATGAAGCACCAAAATGCCCTGCTAGATATCACTGTGACTTAACACAGCAGGAATTTAGCCATCGTCTATGGTTATTTGATTAGAACCCATTTTTTGTCCTTCACAAATCAACCCTCCTCTTAAGCTCCTTGTTCACAAGAAAGAATCTTTTTAAATGTCCAATCTGGTGCGATTTGGTGCCTCCTATGCGCTTCACACATGGAAATACCTTACACTTTGGAGTGTACTGGAAATTGCCAGTACACTCACCACACAACAGCTATCAGTGCGAAGGAGAACGGAGTGATGAGGCCAATTCATAAATGGGTATTATTAGGAGGCCATGATTGATAAAAGCCAATGGGAAATTTAGCCAGGACACTGGGGTAACACCTGTATTCTTTTCGATAAACACCCTGGGATTCTTAATGACCACAGGGAGTCAGGACCTCGGTTTTACATCTCATTAGGATGGCCCTTTTTTTCCTAGTATAGTGTCCCTGTCACTGTACTGGGGCATTAAGACCCACACAGACCACTAGGTGAGTGCCACCTACTGGCCCCACTAACACCTCATTCAGCAGCAACCTTAGTTTCCCAGGAGGTTTCCTGATCCAGGTACTGACCAGGCTCACACCTGCTGAGCTTCAGTGGGTTGCCAGTTTTGAGCTGCAGGTGATAAGGCTGCTGGCTAAAGCTGAGCTTTGGTTGAAGCTTTCTGTTGCTATGCAAAATGACGATTTTTCAGAAGAAAATGGGTGGAAGGCTGCCGACAGGCAACCTAATACGCATCTCCTCAATGTACTTTAATAGGTCACTCAAACACATTGATAGGAAACATAACATCAAGCCAGAAAATACTGCCTATTAATGCCTGGAGGCCAATTGGTGTTTGTTTTTTTGGAGAACAAAAAGAACAGAGCAAAACTGTTACCACTGTCTCTCTTACACTACTCAAATTTGACACTGATGACCACAATTTCATTAATTACATGCAAGTTACACTGAGACAAAAATTTGTTTCAGGTCTTATTGCAGATACTTAAATTGTAAAAGCAACAACGTGAAGAGAAATGGAAATAGGAGCAATTTATTCAACCCACTGTCTTCATACTCTCCTTCATGATCCATGATCCACATTTTGCTGCTCTTCTCCACCAGTTCTACTATTCTTAGGATTTTGTGTAAAAATACCCAAATCTTGCAAAAAAAACACCAGGAAAAGTGAGGAACAGTGGCCCAGGAAATTCCACACTATATTGCCACAGCCCAGTTTATGGCTGAAATGGACTGGTTGTCACGTCTACAGCACGTGTGCAACACACCAAATACACGTGGGATTTTGCCTTTCAAGAATCCCCCGTTGGCAGTTGGTGACAAGAACTCCAGACAGAAACACACCTAGACAAAAGCCCAAGTGATCGTGGTGGCCGTTCTGTCTGTCGGTGTGCTTCTACAGAGGAGTGCAAACAGTACAGAAAGAGAAGAAAAGCCAGTAAAAAAGAAAACTAAAACTATTAAGCTGAGAAAAGTAATGGAAATGAGCAGCTGTCTTATTCTGGTAGTTCAAGAGAACAGAATTAAAGTAAAGTATTTTTCTAAGTGGTGCTTAACCAGGTTTTCTTGTTTAACCTCCCCGGCACGGCTCTGCTTTTGTTTTCTTTTAAAAATGTTCTTATACTGTTAATAACTTTTATCCTTGTATTAGGAAAAATCACTGCTTTCTGCAGAGGTACACATTCAGAACAGAAACTGCCTGGGTTTAAACTCTTTGATTATCTTTAGCTACTTCCTGCTGTACTGTTGTATGAAGATAATGTGTCCGCAGCAAAAGCTGTCACTTTTTACCTCCAAAACACTTTTGTTCATCTTCCACATCACCCAATGATACAGCAACTCCAGAAAGGGGTCAATAGAGACCAACAGTTATACATTGTGCTTTATTTTACTTAATTGAAAATTCTAGTTTCTAGTTCTAGTTATATTTTCAAATACATTTATTAAGCAATCCTTAAAAGACATTTAACACTAAAATGAGATTCTCAGATAAATGAGCTACAACTAAGCAAAACCTCTGAATAGGTAAAAAAATCTCCTCTCATTTACAACCGTTCTTACAATTTTGTAATTAAGTTCACCCAATCGTGGCAGTGGAGAGATGGAGCCAGGGCTCCTTATGCAGACTGGGAACAGTTGTGAACATAAGTGGACTCTTATGTTCCCATTTGTATAAAAAAAAATTATGCAGCATTTAAAACAGCCAACTCACAGGGGACTGTTCACAGCCTACTGATTGGAGACAAATGGAGAGCTGTTTTCTAAGTACAAGAGGGAACAAACAGCAAAAAAAAAACTGCCGCAAATAAAAGTACCTTGCCAATAAGAACAGGAAAGCTTTTCTAAAAGCGAACTTGAGCCACAGCAATATTCTGGTATTTCCAATATTCTTACTTGATACCTAGTTTGTTAAGCCCCATCTCAAAGACTTAAAAATGTAAGACAGACCACATTTTTTTTGCCAGCGCTAATCTTTGATTTACGGGCATGTCCACAGAGAACTCCCATTTAGAAACAACTGTGGCCTTCACTCTAACATGGAAAATTCAAATAGCCAGCAAGTGCCAAAAACATGATACAAGCTATTGAAAGAGCTTTACTTTACTTTGAGTATGGCAGTACTTTCTCATTCAAAAGAGAACACCGTCATATGAAAAACAGTTTTACATAGAATGTTACTGGGATTACATGTGAGCCCTGGGTAAGAACATGGATTTGTTGCAGATTAAGTCCTTATGAATGAACTATTCCACTTGAGATGGGTGTATATAGCACATATCCTTACAACTAGATGAACCACAAAAAATCGACACTGGGCAGAGACGCTATGCCTTACCAATCTGCAGTGGGTCCTTCACAGCCCTCATCCGGTACAGCTGCTCTCCCCTCTGGAACTCATCAGCACAGCCATTGGCCAGGCAGGAGTATAGCCTGCAGAGAGGAATAAGGTGCTGGTGTTACCAAGCAAGGAATGAATCAGCAGCAAGGATGGTCTAAACTAACTGCTTGGATACATGTGCCTACATTCAGACTTACAGAGCACTGTCATATTAAAATCTGCCTTGACATACAATACTGCTGCAGTACAACAAATAACACATCATGCAGGGCGTGACGCACACAGTCATGCTATTTACAGCACAGGTGCAGAAATAGACAGGATAACTGCTTTGTTTTTTTGAGGGGAAGACGTTTTGATGTGGAAAGTTTTGTCGAGATTACCAATTTAAAAATTCCTGAGTGGATGTGTGTTTCTATCCTTTCCTCCCTACCCCCCACCCTGAGACACTGTGAGCTGGATGCATAAAACCTTCAGCTCAGTGGTCCACCCATATGTGTTTGGCTACTGCTTTATTTAAGAGGGCCGTGGTGAGTCTAAACCTTCAGGCAAGGCAAGGCTATGCCCTGGACAGGACACCAGATTACTGGAGGGTGTGCCAACCTGCAAATGAGATAATGCAGGAGGTGCAAATCAATCTAGACAGCGCGTCTTTAAAGTAGAGTAATTGGAGAACGTCCATGTGAACATGGGAACATAGCTCTGAGGCATCCGTACCAACCACTTAGTCACGACGCCCAGTATAGTAAACGCTCTCGTTTTCTTTTAAAAATAGGCTTTTGTCTAACAGCCTTATGCATTTCCATCATTCTGTACATCCATTATGAGAAAGCCGTTTCTTCCTGGTAAGAGTCATGGCAAATCCAGTGCCTGTTTTAAAATCCCTGGGGAAATACAACCAAGCAGTATGGGATACCACACTTGGTCTCTAAACATGTCAAGTACACTCTAACATTGCTTTTCCAACTACCCTTGCACTGCCTTATTATTCAAATGCATTTCTGACTGAAGGATTACACTTGTTATTTGATGGTTCTGAGCACCTCCCATGAACATTGCTCATTCCACATAAAAAGGATTTAAGAGAAATTGCCAGAAAATAAGCTTCATCTTGCAATGTAGTTTTATCTATTCAAGACTCTTTCAAAGAATGTATTTTGTCTGAAAAAAGCCATGCATGTGACATTCCCAGTACCTGTTGCTGGATTATATACAAGATGCCACAGCTCACACAGCCTGGAACGCCTATGCTAAGCGTACAGGCAGGTACCTGATGTCCTCCTCGTTCTCAGGGAAGCTCCAGTAGGCGATGCGCAGCTGCAGTTGCTCTGGGACTGGGGGGTAGACCTTCTCCACCACCTCGAAGGGGATGTGAAAGGCCACCTGCTTGGCCGACAGCTCTACCAGCGGGATCACCTGGCCATCTAGACAGAACAAAGAGGGAGAACAACAGGAGATGAGAATACAGTCATAACCCCTGCTGGTGTGCTCTGGGAAAGAAACATGACATTTGTTGCGGGAAAGCAAAGGAAAGAAGCACCCGATTAGCTGATTGAATGTGGCTATGCCGCTGTATTTATTTTTTTATGCAATTGCTGCCTCACAGTGCTGGGGGACCTGGGTTTAATTCCTGGCACGCTACCTGTGTGGAGTTCTCCCTATGTTCACGTGGGTTTTCCCCCACATGCCAAAGACACACTGGTAGGTTTACTTTCGTCTCAAATCCCCTCCCAATTATTTCAGCAATATTACTTATCTGAACAGTTCCATAAAGGGATCTCTGTACAGTATCCACTGACTAACGCCATCTGCTCACCAAGTATAATCAAGTCTAAAAATCATCTTCAATGCCAGAAGCAAAGATGCTTAATCTTGATCTTAGCTGCATCTTAAAGTCAGCCATAAATAACAGATTTGAAAATGAAACAGTGAAAATAATTTAAGGAACCCAGACACAATAGTCCTATGCTTATTTGACTAAATATTATGAACCCCATGTCAAACGGATTGAAACTCTCAGTGGCTGAGAGACCTCCATCACTTTCCCTGGGCAGAAGGATTCCCTTATCTCAATCCCACTGAAAAATACTGGAACCGGCAGTTCAACCCCCAACACCACTAGCCTTGTCACTATAATGAAAGAGGTAGGAGTAAACGACTATTTGAAAAATGCATGGTATACATGCCATACCTTAATCCTACTGTTCTTGCTGGTAGCAGAAGCCCACCACTTTGTCCTCTTATTATTTCCCCTATCAGCGCACATTTTACTGGCTAGAAGCTCAAAGACCTTTAAGCTAATAAAAAGAAGGGTGATCCCACATTGCTGCTGTACATCATTCCATTTTCTAACCACCTTACCCAATTCAGGGTGTGTGGTGGGGAGCCAGAGCCCATCTCAGCCAGCAACAGGCATAAGACAGGATATACCCTGGTCGGGATGCCAGTCTGTCACAAGGCACACAGACACAAACAATCACACTCGGACCAGGGCTCATTTTACAGAAGCCAATGAACCTACTAGTATGTTTTTGTACTGTGTGGGGAAACCCACACGGACACAGGGAGAACACACAAACTCCATGGAGATAGCACCTCAGGGCCCCAGCACCGCAAAGCAGCAATGCTAATCACTGCGCCATCGTGCCAACCTGCTGGTCATATCTAAACACCCGCCCACAGGTGTCAGTACCACCTTTTTCACAATACAGACAACGCGATCATGAAGCCCGACGTCATCCACTTAGAATCCCTTTAGGCACTTTGTTTGCGTTTTTGTTAATTTTGTCAAACGGATAGTTGCCATTTTGAGAAAAGGAGAGACTGCTTTAGAAATGTGCTATAAAGCAACAAAATGAGGGAAAGCCAACAAGGAGAGGATATAAAGCTTCTCTTAAACAAAGGGGCCTTTTGGTTTGCAATTACAGTTTCATTGAAGAACCTTTTCCGATGTAAACTACCTGCAACACTGCTCAAGAGCATTCTCGCATTCTAAGCACATGGAAGAAAACACTCCCAACAGCAGAAGCTGCGAATTTGACCAATTTGAGCCAACTGCACTGCTCAATAGGAGACATTGTGTCCGAGTGGCGGCAACTCTTCCTACAGATGGTGAAGCAGCAAAGTGTGGGCGCAAACTACAAGCATTCTTTTTCTATAACGTTTGCGCCCCTTGTTTACTAAAAGTCTGTCTCAAAGACTGTCTTGTGTCCCCACTTAACCGCATTGTCAGAGATCCACTGCAAGGACTGCAAGCAGGGAGGTCCATAATAGATTCATTGAACGGGCACATTTGCTAAAATAAAGCAACACTTCATAGAACAGCAATGACAGAATAGAGTAAAATGGAGCAATGAAACCTGGCAAGTGAAAGCACACAAGCCCGGGATTCCTGTTGCAGATCCCCCCCCGTCTGAATATTATATAACTCACCTTGAAAAGACCCATGACTTATCTATATCTAGCACTCCTCTGTGAGCCAATCTCCCTAACCCAACCTTAAACTCTTTACACAATTGCTCCCATTCAAACACAATGAAGGTACAATGAGAGGTCCAGGTGTTTCACAGAAACACTGGCTTTCTGCAGTGTGTGGGATATGGGAGAGCCACTGAGTCAGTGTGAGTCAGAAAACCAAGACAATCGCAGTGGTTACACTGCTTACTATTCTTACTGCGACTCAGCACTGAGGCTTTAGAAGAGCCATAAGCCATTATATAAGACATCCCCTGGCCAGCTGTCTCACTGTAGAACTATCAGTCTGGCAGACCAGCTCCTCAGAAAGGTGAGAGATTGATTTTCACATTTTAAATACTGGCTATATGTGACAAACTGTCTATTCATACCCAACCTAATTAAATTTATTGGACAGCTCGTCTGGCTACAGGCAAATGTGTCAACCACACAAAGTACCGGGAAAATGAGAATTCCACTGCATTATGTTCGATCTACTGTAGTTTTCATAAGTAGCAGACTATTTTAAAAAAAGTTGCACAAAAAAAGCAATATATATATATAATGTAAGATCCACACATCTTCAGATTCATCAAAATAAAGAACAAGGTCGAAGTCTGTTTCTGCTGCTGGCTCATACACCACTTGCAGCTTATGAAACCTGAAGTGGATTATTCTGCTAAGCAATTGGAGTTTCTAATGAGTTCTCTTAAACATTAAGATTAAATCTGAGAAGAAAATCAAGAAATAGAGTGCAACTGAATTTATTTTAACAAAGGCTTGATAAGATAATTTTTGAAAATGAAAGCATTTGTCAGAATGAGGTATTGGGTCACATCAGCTAATATAAGGTCCGCTTTTGGGGATTTTGAATGCTGTAGGTGTAGTCAGAAAAGTTAAACTACATGGCTTTTAGGTTTAGTTTCTCAATGTTAAATGTAATTTAACATTTCCAACATATTACAAAATATTTCTCCTTATATATTTAATAGCCCTTGCTTTTAAACACAGTGTAACTAATGTGGAGAAAACTAAGACCACTGCAGACACACATTACCAGTCCTGCAGCAGATCTCACCACCATCACAACACCCCCATTGCAAGCGGTCAGTTCTAGCCAGCAGTACGCTGCAGACTCCCTAACTTTAAAGGCTACACCTCACTATTTCTCAAGCTCCTCAACAACAGCCCCTACATCCCAGTCTCCATCCCAGCCTGTTCGTCCTGGAAAATAACCCCAGCTGTTTCTGCGCCTTGTCCGTCACCACTTATCATTAAAGCAAAGACTGTGGACCACGGAAAATTGTATTCCGGGAAGAATTAAGTCGGTGATAGCGACTACGCACGTTGAGAAAATAAAAAATGGCAGGGAAGAAAATAAAACAGCTTAAGTTGCTCTCACTGAGATCTCAGTGCTCAAGGCAGTTATATATAGAACCCTGTTATGAATTGGTTGCAGTGATTTGAATTTGACATTTAACAGACTTGAAACAGATTTTTAACAGCTCTGACATTTTAACAAATATGCTCAGTAAAATAATTAAACTTTGGTCATCTACTTGGCTAATCAACAGGTGGTTTACGATGAAAGCCGCAAGGTAGCGGATTGTGTGGCCACCTTGTGAAACCATACCAAGCTGCAGACGCTGTGTTGTGGGATTCTGTCCCATTCCTCTCATGGCTCTCAATGCTACCTGAATCTCTCTCTGTCTCTGTCTTTCTCCCTTGATTTCTCACCAGGCTTGACATTCAACAGGTTAAACTTACTTAATACCAATGTGCCTGTTTAATGTTTATGCGACAAAGTCACTCGTGTGCATGGTGATCAGCCATGAATTGATCAAAACACCAAAAACATTTAAGCGATATCCAAAACCTGTATGTTTCATTTTTCTAAACACATATATGCTTAGATCTTGAGATGTTTGGTATAGATTGTAATGGTGATGGGGAAAAAAACATTTTAGGTTATATGTACTGTGATGCGAGAAAGAATATTATGGGGGAAAAAAAAACTATGAGAGGGCAATTATAGCCACACATTCAAACCATGAAGGTCACATTTGCAGAAAAGGCTGAGATCACCTTGTATGCGGACCCTGCAACTTGGCTCAAAGTCTCTAAGCACTAGTCCCTCCCTCCAGGCAGGGCACTTTTCTGGAAAAAAAGGTTTTTAAAAGACCGATAGATGTAAGCCATGGTAAACACTGCTAAGTGTTCCTTCTTTCTGCTTCTAAGAAAGAGAGAGTTCCCAGATCGCAAGTCTGAGAGGTAGAAAGAAGTCTGCTGGAATTCTAAGAATACAGAAGAGGGGGTGGACACGCAGGGTGTAGGCTGCCACTATCGGCTCTTTCCTCTCCAGCTGACAGCTATGAAACTAGGAAGGGGTGGGGGAACTGCTGCCTAATTTCAATTCACAGAAACACCAATGCGAACATTTCCATGAATCACTCACGAGAGCTCTTGGCAGGAGCGGCAGTGCGTTCTGCACAACTTTTTCCTGCCGAACAGCGCAGAGTACTACAAGGCACCCACCGCAAAACACAATAAACCGCGGCAGAACTCCTCACGCGGCCTCAGCAAACCCTCGAGGAGATAAAGCCCGCTTCCAGAACGGGCAGGAAATCTGGCTCAGACTCCCCTTCTCAGATCGCTGCCGAAGACGGGGCACATTGAGCGCCACCGGCTGACCCCGTTTTCCCAAGGCACTGGGGTTTCAAAAAAGTTAAAACGTTTCGTTCCTCTCTTTGGGGGAAGCGGCTTGAACCATTTCCAACCTGTAACAGAAAGCGAGTGCACTACAATGGAAGTCAGTACGTTTGCAGGATAATTACATTTTGCCAGGCTGTGCAAAAATATGTATCTTTGTTCACAGGCCGCCATATAAACTTACAAAAGTGGAATAGATCTAAATATAATTTAGAAAAAAAAAATTTTATGAAATGTTCAATGTTATAAGAGGGTTCCCTGGTACATTCCAGGACGTGACTGAAAAGTTACAATTTAAACCATCAGGGTTTGTTCTGACAGCTTGTACGCATCTCAGATCTCAACACCACCTTTGCCTAGAAAAACGCACAGCTATAAACAGGATATCTTCAGTGCTGCACAATGTCTGTCATGAAAAACCTTCAGGCAGTTTCCATGCAACATTCTGCACGTACAAGTTTTCAGTTTTTCCTCCTAAACTTCAGGAATATCCCTTAATGCCACTCATTATATATTCCCTCTTCACCACTTATTTCAAGATATCATTCATCATCACGTTTCCTTGATGCTGTCTACTATGTGACTGCCAAGCAAAGGAAACCTGTTATGGTATGAAAGGATAAATATATCTGCAACACTGTGAGGACAGCAACAGAGGCTGAAGGGACGTCCTGGAAGTTTGTTCAGCGGATGGGTAAAAATATTCTAATGCTTCTCAGTGAATCAATAATCCTTGAGGTAAAAATGTGTCTTTTCACAGGAGCCCATAGCCCGTGTGTTCTAGGGGATACAAGGATGGTGAGAATGGTGACACTGTACAGCTGGAGCAGCCTGTGTTTGGCTTTGACAGAGTAGCTTTTGTTAAATACAGCGTGTGGCACAATCTCAAAGGAGAGTGGGAAGGTGTTAACCCTGGTGTGTTGGCACGAGCCCAGAACATAGCACGAAATGTGAACAGTCTGGAAAACACAAAAATGAGCTAGTAGTTTTAAGTTTCCGAAGTTGGCCAGAAAATGAGTCATTTTCTATTTGTATTAATAACCAAGGCTTGCATTTGTGATTTTTATCACTATTATTTTTATAGTGTCTGGCAAAGTGGGGAGCAGCCATTTATCAGTGTCATGCAGCACCTACAGGGTCAATGCATGATGACCATTTTGCACCAGCACCCCCACTACACAGCAGATATGGTGGAGAAGAGAGACATTTCTTTTCCCTCTGCAGTTTAATAAAGGGGGAAATTCAAGGAGACCAAGCCCAGAGTGGAACCTGGCCAGGAAACCAGGGTTAACACCTTATTCTAACCCATCATGAGATCAAAAGATCAAGAACCAAGTACGTAAGAGCTTCAAAGATGACAAAATTAAGCCCATCCAACTCGTCTGTAGTTAATAGATCTGCTGAAATCATCCAGGTGTTTCTTAAAAGAAACCAGGTAATTAGTCTCAACAGCATGACTGGGGAGCTTGTTCCATACTCCCACAACCCTTTGGGTACAGCAGCATCTCTGTTCTCATTTTAAATACACTTCCATATTGATTTCACCAGTACATGTTCATTCTGGGGAATAAGACACTGCATTGACTTTGTCAGTGCCTTTGAGGATTTTCAATACTTGTATCTTCTGTTCAAAACTAAAAGGCTCAGTCCCTTCAGCCTGTCACTGTAGGGCATTATTTTAAGCCACAGAATGTATTTGTTTTCTCTTCTCTGGACAGATTGCAGAGAAGCATAGTCTTTCTTATGACCTGTACACATTATTTTGAAGAGGCCTTACTAGAACTTTATAAACTTTTAATTTTTAAATTACAAAATGTCCCTTAATTTAATTCTACACTTTTAGCTAGCTATATATCCAAGTATTGGGCTTGACTTTTTAATGGCTTCTACACATTTTCCATCAGTAAATAATGCGTCAACATCAACACTTAAGTCTTTTTCATAAGTAACCTCTTCTAGCTAAGAGTTTCCCCATTTGTATTTAGAATTTGCTTTTACTACTTCCATGTAATAATTTCACTTCACTTAAATGCATTAAAAGTCAGTTGCAAGATATTTGCACAGTTGTGAATTGTATCCAAATCTTTTGGAAGTAGTCAAAAACAGTAGTCAGTCCCCGGTCTGGCAACTTATTCAACTGTCAGGTCCAGAGTGAACAGTGCCTCTTGCTGATCTCCCACTAATTATGTGGAAGATAAAAGTAAACAAATTATTTTCTATTACTTGAATGCTGACATTGCATACTGACTGCTAGAATCCAGGGACTGACATGTAATAGGAGGCAGAGTGGCCAGCAGAGAGACTGGCAGGCTTCTTTCAGAGAAAGAGGCAGAGTAGTTATAGTTGTCTCTACTCTGAAAATGAGCTTTCACTAGCTGGCAGACATTGCAGTCAAGAGCCTATAGTTGAGAAACTGTGAGGAGTACCACTCATTTATTTCCTAGAAATAAAGGGACAGAGCCAACAAAAGCTAGAAATGATTCAGTTAGAACAGTACTGTGGAGAAGTAGTCAGGGTTTGTGACTCCTTATCTAGAGATTTGTAGATTCAAATCCCAGTGAGGCACTGCTGTTCCTGTACAATACCCAGCTGTACAGACGGGTGTAAAAGTAAGTAATTCAGTAAAACATTAGCAAAACCGTAACAGAACTGTCCCAAACCGAAAGGAACCTTAGGTTTCCCAAAAAGTAAATATGATGAAAAAGTCACAAACAGCCCAAAATAATGAAAAAACGGATTCACCTTTTATTTTGACAGTGGGGGAATTGGGTCCTGCAGATTGCTTCCTCCATCCTCTCCAGTTCTGACACAGGCTCTCTGCCTCGGAGATGAACGAGCACAGCGAGTCCTCCTCGAACCGGTCCGAGTCCTCAAAGGAGAACCTCTCTCCGTCTTCCCACTCGGCAAACATGAGTTCCATCACATCTACCGGCGAAGCAGTCGGGGGACTCGGAGCAACAACCGAAACCGCCCCCAACTCGAACACAACAGAACACGGACGCGGAGCTGCCCTGCTTGTGAGGGACGGGGGACGGGGCGCAGTTCCACTCCGAAAACTCCAAACCCGGGGGAGGGAGCGAGCAGAAACGATCAAATCAAAGAGTCGAAGAAGCTCACCGCAGAGGGGACGTGCAAAAGTAACAATGCTTTGTCTTTTGTTGGGGTTTTTTTTCCTATGCAATATTAAGTCTTGCCGAATATGAAGCGAAATGCCTGGCGGACCGTCACTTCACAGGCCCACGTTCGGCATTGAATTCTTCAACGTTTATCGACCTGCAGTTCGGGTTGGCTCCAATAAAGCTGGTTTGTTCAACTCGGGGGGGCCAAAAAAACCAGCAGTAAGGCTGAGTGATTCATGCTCACCCCTGCTCTTCCAGTACAGCAACACTGGGTTCGCCAACTCCCGTGTCCCAGACTCGGAAAGGCAGCGACTTCACGAACAACAATTGTGACATTCCTAATGTGCTTTAACTTAGATATGAGTCCACACAACGCTTACAGAGGGCGATATTTGTCACGCTTTCCCCCACAGCGTTCGTGTCTGAACGTATTCAAAAATGTTTTTATTTTACAAAAGGCTGCGTATTGTTAGTGTAAGAAAAACAGCACTTTGTAATACAAAACTCTTAACTGACACTTACAGTCTTCCTATCAAATCATATTATCATATCCTTTTTACATCTGTATACAAATAAGAACAATAACAAAAAATACCTAGGGGAAATTTCTTGGGGGATTCCGTGTTCTAGTGGTTATTGACACACTAAATCATTTTCAGAACAGTCGTCTGTCGACCTAACTGTACTGAAATAAGCACTGCGCTCCTCAGATCGCTGGGTTCTTCCTGTCTAGTGCTCCCTTTCCACTCAGGTTAATATCACTGCCCTGAAAGGGCATTCATTCTCGCACAAATCGTCGGCTTTAATTAGGTGACTCAGTCGTTTTGAATCGGTACTATCCTGAGTGGGATTCCCGACGCACTACTCTCCGGTGACCGACTGCACTTTTCCTCCCCTGTAGTCCCCAGACGTTGCCAACCACTTGTGTACGTGCTGAAAACGAAAAAGCACTTCTGGACATCCGAAATGCTGGATTAGCGTTCGCTGGTTCCCTTCGCTGTGCAATTCAGCGTCAGGTTATGTAACGCAGGGAGTAAAATGGAAACACGATTTGGAGCAGCGACTCTATCTTCTGCATGTGCGGCTTCCTTGGAAATCGTCAAGTTTTGAATGTTGTTTTTCATTCACCTCTCCACTTCTCCTCCAGTCTGCTGGGCGCTTCGGCTCCGGTGTTGAGTGGGGGCAACGCGACACTGTATTAACCACAGCTCTTTGTAGTAATGTTATATACTTGCTGTTTAATATCTCCCAGTATTTGTGTCTTCCCTCGAAGAAAATCAACGTGGATCAAACAAATGAAACACCTCTTCTCATTGTTTTGTCCCAGCTCGATTAGCTGGCGATTAGATAGCAATGCCGAGTAACCTCCTTTCCGATTCAGACTGTCATCGCTTTCCACGTTTAGTTAAATAAACACCGATATCATTTTTTTACATATAAAATGTATACCTTCAGCCGCTGGCAGAAAGCCCCCCAGTCCAAACTCGAGTCTCTGAGTTACTCTGAACAGTGTTGTTTATACTGACAATTGAAAGAATGGCCCCGTGTAGTCACCAGTTACCACATTTAACTAACGTTTTTGCCCTTCTTGTTTCATTTGGATGTCTTATTCAATCGAGACTCTGTTTATTCATGCCGTCGTCTTTCTTCCTTCCTTTGTATTTTAAAAGCATCCAGTCTTTTGCACGCTCGACAGCCGACCCGGTTCCCGTTCAGTCCTCCGGATGAAGTCTCACGATAAACCCCGGTTTGCTCGCTGACAGACGCCGCTTTTCCTGCTGTCCTTCTGCAACGGTTTCGAGCCGCCCTTAAAAACCGGGATCCCCCTAATCTCTCCCGTCTGCCCCCCACTCTCTGTCTCTCCGGTGGGGAAGATGGCTCTTCAGCTTACAGGCTTCAGCCCAGTCTCCTCCATCAGCTGATCCCAACTTCCGCCTCACACTCGGACTAACAGGGTGCCTCTCGCATAGAAGACCAGCTATTTTTATTGCAGCAGAGTTCTCTCTACGACAGTCCGCCCCGTATATGACTGTTCTGCACCATCAGGGTTTTATTTAACAACTTTGAAGGACTTCGAGTGTGAGCGTTTTAATTTTGTGCATATGTTTTGTCGATTTATCGTGGTTGAAAGCATTGTAACCTTTGACCCCAGCAACCCCCCCCCCCTCCTCCTCGGTTGCTATGATGTAAATAATACAGGCACGCGCGGTGAGGCTGAAGTTCTGTGCGCTGGGAAGGTAACTTGATTGACGGGCTTTGTTACAACTGCGGGAGGAAAAAATATTCTTCTATGTAGCTTTCGAGAGTTATTTTTTTCTGAAACGGTTTCCTGAAAAAGGTATCAGACACGAAAAGCGGTTACGGCGAATTCCAAATTAAGTATTTTGTGCTAATACATTACGTGGTATATTAAAGTTTGTTATGCAAAAAAGAAATGCAATTCTTTTATTTCAGGGCCACCGTATGTGATACAACATACCGACGCGAGCTGTTCAGACCTAATGTTTTAAAAGTAGGTGATGTCATATAAAACTAGTTGTCACAGGTAGAAGGTTTTTAAATCACAAATGTTCATGGGAAAGTGTAAAACATGGATGTAGTTAAAAATTAAAACAGTTGTTCGGAGGGACCTGTAGCGAGCAGAAATAACCTCGTAACTTCCTGTTGAATATTGTATCTCCTCAGTACCAATATGTGATAGTTATCTACAAGACTTAATATTGTAACGCTACGGGGTTGACGTGGGCGCCCTCGCCGCTGCCGCATCAGGTCGGCCCCCCACCGTTGGGGACTCGAACCCGGGCCTCTAGCGTCACTCAACAGGGACCCAGCCTCTTGAGCCAAAGGGAAATCTCCCATCAGCCCGACGGCTGCGGTCCCTCCTATTCACAGGGAAGGGTGGTGACGTCACCGCGGTGGTAAGCCGGCTCTCACAAGCAATGGAGGCCGTATGCGTTACAATATCATGTACAGTGTATGTGAATATATGTAAATCACGTTACTTCAAAGTTAACATTTCATTGTGAATGGTAAAACCTCAGCAAGATGTACAGGTAATTCCGATAACTAGTGTATGTGGATCTATCCAGCTCCAGTTTACAATGCACAATCCATCAGGTTACCTGAGTTATACACTGTTACTTTAAGTTGTCCTGATCATTGGGCAACATTTATTCTGGCTGCACTCCTTTTGTATACACAGGCTTATCCATAGCCTTATAATTGGGTGAAAACCAAATCCTAAAGTGTAAGAAGAATACAAAAAACGTGACAAATGAGAGGTGGCCCTCCAGTCCATTTTGCTCATTCTGTCGCTAGTACTGTAGCTAATTGACTGAAGAATCTCATCTGACTGCCTTTTGAAAGAAGCAAGGATTTCAGCTTCAATAATATGGCTGGGTAACTTGTTCCATATTCGTCCTCCCGCAACCCAACAGCCCTTTGTGTGAGGACGTGCTTCCTCCTGGTTTCCACTTTTGTCTACTGCTTCATGTTTCACTGTTGATTCGGAAGAACTCCATCGGAATGGCTGTGTTATTGCCTTCGAGTTGGGCCTGCATTGGGCCTGATGGGAAGCGTTTCTGTCTCGCAGTGCTGGGACCCTGGGTTCAATTCCAGACCTGGGGTGTCCGAGGGTGCCATGTGCGTGGAGTTTGTATGTTCTCCCCGTGTTTGCGTGGGCTTCTTCCTGTTACCTCCTGAAGTCCGAAAACATACTGGTAGGTTAAATGGATTCGGGGAAAATTGGCCTTAGGATGGCCAAGTTAGTGTCTGCCTGCCCTGGGATGGACTAGCATCCTGTCCAGGTTGTTACCCTGCCTTTGCCTGCTGCTTGCTGAGATCCCCCCCCAACCCAGAATTGGAAGAAGTGGGTAGAACATGGATGGATTTGCAGTACATGGACCAGGTCCCCTCGTAGTCTTCTCTCTTCAAAGACTAAAAACATAAATGTGGGCAGATTGAGCTCTATGATCACGGCGTGAATGTGGGTCATGTCACTAGCTGACTGTACACAGTTGACTGAGCACCACCTACAGTATGGTGGGATTAGTCAGGCAAGGATATTCTGCCTCTCAGCACCACAGTTTCCCCCAATGGCTGTCCATCTTGAATCAGAGCTAAACACTGATTCAGCTCAATTACTGTGGTGTGGTGTCACAGTACCACACAGGCTGTGTTGCCTGTGACGTGTTAAAAGACGAAAGTCTCAAAGGTGGGCAGGTCGGGGGAGTGTGCTGCCTACACTTTCTCATGCTCAGCTGCTTGCAGTTTCAGAGTTTGCAGGTGAGAGCTCTGATGTGAAGGACACAATTCTAAATCAGGGGGTGTATAGCAAGAAATAACTGGCATCCCTAGACTGGTGCATTATAGAAGTGGAGAATAAAATTAAAATTTTCACTGCACTTGCTAACATTCTCCGCTGTTGTAATGGTTCCCTGCATGGTCAAGAGGAGGACAAACCTATTGTTTTTCAAATTGAAAACCTTTAGATTTATATTGGCTGTGTGGCTTATATAGGGTCATTTTCATGATATAAAACAAACCCTTCACATATAAGTTGCTTTCTGGAGGGAATCACATGACTTAGAAGAACAATATGACCTTTGACCTTTATAGATCTTTCTGTGTGGACATAACACCTCATGTCAACATCTCCCTGTTGTACTTTCCCTGTTGTGTTCAAAATAGGCATAGGAGGGCAAGGTAAGTGAGTCAGTGAGGCACCAAGGAAGTAAATAAATGATTGCCATGACACCAGAGCTGTGTTTCACAAGGAAGTGTGTACTATGAGAGAAACTGTAGTAAATAACTAGTTTTAGTAATTTACTGCAGGCTGTAAATAAGACAAAACAAAAACTACTGTAAAGGTGATTGCCTCACAAGAAAGTCCAGTCCAGTGGTGACTCTTGTTGTAGATTGAGCTTTGATTTCTCTCCAAACCAATGGAGGTCAGCAACCTGTGTTGTTAAAATGTTAACAACACCCTGAATGGGCACTAAATCAGGTGACATCTGAAGAGTTTTTGAGCTGAAAACTGAAATTGACCACTGTGCGAGAGATGGTCAGGAAACCACAAACACACAAACCTATTGTTTTCTCTCGGAGTAATTTACAGTAGATTCCATGTTTAGGATTGGGTAGCAAGATGGCCAAGTGGTTAGCATTGCTCACAGTTCTGGGGCCCTAACTTCTGGAGTGCTATACAGTACATGTGGAGTTTGTATGTTTTCCTGATGTTTGTATGGGTTTCTTTCAGGTGCTCCAGTTTCCTCCTACAGTCCAAAGACATACTATAGTAGGTTAATTGGCTTTTGGGAAAAATTGACCCTAGTGTGTGAATGTGCATGTTTGTGTCTGTGTGCCCTGTGATGGACTAGTGTCCTGTCCAGGGTATAATGTCGTGCCTTCTTCTTAAACATATGATCAATTAGTTAATCAGGTATCACCATCATATATATGTACTGTAAATTGGGTTATTAATGGAATCCAAGTTGCTGACTTCTCTGAAGACCCAGCTCACAGTGACTGCCTAGGCCAGAGGTCAGAGACTCAGTTACTGCATCACCTAGTGTCTTCTGGCGTGTCAACCAAACTCTCAGTTACATATAATATAATATAATATAATATAATATAATAAACAGTCAATATAATTTTTTAACCTGTAGTACTTTTAAACTAACAGTGTGATGTTTTCCAGGCCACTGTACCTTAAATGAACTCAATATTTTTATGAATCAAATATGGATGTTATGAAAAACCCTTGTTATGTATAACAAATCTAATAATTAGGCTAATTATTTCCATTAATATAATTATGTGTTTCATATATAATACTGCAGCTAGGATCACACCTTCCCCCTTCTCTTAACGACAGACTACTTTTTTTCTAAATTCTCTCTGTTCATTGTAGGTTTCATTTCACACCTCTCTATACCTATCCTGACTTCACACCTCTTGACTGGCCTCTCTTTCTGTCTCTGTCTCTGTCTCTGTGCCCTGTGTTAGACAGGCTAGATCCCATCCAGGGTGTAGTCTCGCCTTGTGCCCTGTGTGCTCATCAAGCTTTATCCTTACTTTTTAAGGATAAAGATGCTATCAGTTATCAGTGCTCAGTGGAGTGCAGCTGTATTCCCCTGCCTACACGTCTGAGGTCTAGTGTGATAAGATCTCTCCCAGCTGTGCAACACAGTGAACTACTGCCCAGACTGGGCTAAGATGCAGTTTAAAGCCAGGGCAGATCAGTGGGAAGGAGGATTAGAGCTGCACCATATTTTAACTCGCCTCGTCTGGTCGTACGTTATTTCAGAAGCTAATGAGTTCTTGATTTAAGGTCAGGAGCAGCCAAGAGCTCTCTGAAGATGAATGCAGAGTTGGATAATAAACCATATGCACCTTTGTCAGCACATCCGTTGTAAATTTGTTTGATTCATAAACGATTCATAAACGTCCATTTTCTATTAACTCGCTTTCATGTAAAGCTCAGCCATTTACATTTTGTGCCTCTTTTGATGTTTGCATACACAGAAACACTTAAGACAGATCTTCAGGACCTTTGTTTTATTCTGCCAACGGTATTTAAAGGCATAAGAGATGTTGCACTTCCTTGTTCATTAACAAAACTCTTTGATAGTCTCACAAAACCAGGGCAATACCCGTCGACAGGAAAATGACTCATGCGGCACCCATCCACAAAAATAAACCAAATACTTGTAGACCAATAAGTGCAGCTTCAATTACATGTAAGGTTTAAAGAAACAATATCTAGAAGTAAACTACAAGACTATCTTTATAGTAACAGGATTCCAGCAGAGTCAACATAGATCCAGACTCTAGTATAGTTCAGAAAGTAGTGAAATTGGCAAGATTATACCAAAATAGGATGATTTTGGTATCATCTACCAGACCACTCAGTCATTCAATCAACGTTAAACAGCATATTAAAAAACAACAACTCTTTTTATGTTTTTGTATGGGATATTATGGATATGGGTAGAGAGTCAATACAATCCTATCATAAATAACAATATCCATTTTCAATACTAAGTACAAGTACTTGCTACAGAATCTAAAAATGTAAACATTAAACTGTTCATTAATATTACTTGGCCATTACAATACAATCAGTGACTTTTTCACATCCCACCTGTGATTCACATTCTGAAAGACTCTGAGAGGAGGCAGTAGTGACTAATACCGGAAAAGAGAAGAGGCCTTCTAGCCCATACCTCTTGCTCTTGTCTTAACTAATCCTTGCATGTTTCTGTACATCTTCTAAGATATGAGGCCTTGCAGATCCTCTAAATGGAGATGAATCAAGAACACACAACAGCCTATAAAAAACAGCCCATTACTATTGGTAAGTATTTGCTGTTGAAGGTTCCGAGTGGAGTT